ACCATCGCCGAGGCTGCCCTCTCCGGCGCTCCTCTACAGTGCTGGGACAACAGTACCCGTGGTCTGGATTCCGCCAATGCCATTGAGTTCTGCAAGACCCTCCGTCTGCAAACCGAGCTTTTTGATAGCACGGCCTGTGTGTCCATCTATCAAGCTCCCCAAAGCGCCTACGACCTCTTCGACAAGGTTGCCGTCTTGTACGAGGGTCGCCAGATCTTCTTCGGCAAGGCCACCGATGCCAGGCAATACTTTATTGACCTTGGATACGACTGCCCTGCGCGTGCCACAACCCCCGATTTCTTGACCTCCATGACGAGCCCCCAGGAGCGTCACGTCCGCCCCGGCTGGGAGAACAAGGCACCCCGTACCCCTGACGAGTTCGCTCTCGCCTGGAAGAACAGCGCCAACTACACCGCCTTGCAGGCTGAGATCGAGGAGTACAAGCAGACCCACCCTCTCAACGGTCCCGACGCCGTGGCTTTTCGTGCCTCGAAGAAGGCCCAGCAGGCCAAGGGACAGCGTGCGAAGTCTCCCTTCACCCTGTCCTACGCCCAGCAGGTCAAGCTTTGCTTGTGGCGTGGATTCAGACGTCTGATCGGTGATCCCAGTATCACTGTTGGTTCGCTCATCGGAAACGTTGTCATGGGTCTCATTATCGGAAGTGTCTTCTACAACTTGCAGCAGGACACCCAGAGTTTCTTCCAACGTGGTGCCCTCCTCTTCTTCGCCTTGCTCATGAACGCCTTCTCCAGTGCCCTCGAGGTAAGTTCTCAATCCGTCAATTAACAACAAGTGATTCGTGAGCTAACCTGAAATCAGATTCTGACCCTGTACGCTCAACGCCCCATTGTCGAAAAGCACTCCCGCTACGCCCTGTACCACCCGTCCGCCGAAGCCGTTGCGTCCATGTTGTGCGACATGCCGTACAAGGTCATGAACACCATCGTCTTCAACCTGGTCCTCTATTTCATGACGAATCTGCGACGCGAGCCTGGAGCATTCTTCTTCTTCCTTCTGATGTCCTTCTTCACGGTCTTGACCATGTCAATGATTTTCCGAACCATCGCTTCATCCTCTCGAACCCTGTCGCAAGCCATGGTGCCTGCCGCCATTCTCATCCTGGACCTTGTCATCTTCACTGGTTTCGTCATTCCCATCGACTACATGTTGGACTGGTGCAGATGGCTCAACTACCTTGATCCTCTGGCATACTCTTTCGAATCCCTCATCGTAAACGAATTCCACGGTCGCAACTTTGCTTGTTCGGAAAGCCAATTTGTACCCAGATCAATTGTCCCTGGATACGAAAACCTCCCATCCGCTCAGCGGGTGTGCAGTGCTGTCGGGTCCGTCGCTGGTCTTGATTACGTGAGCGGCGACGACTACGTTGGTTCTGGTTTCCGCTACTCGTATGCCAACCGCTGGCGCAACTTTGGTATCCTCATCGCCTTCATGCTTTTCTTCCTGATGACCTATATGGTCACGGCTGAGTTGGTCTCGGAGAAGAAGTCTAAGGGAGAGGTTCTCGTGTTCCGCCGAGGACACAAGCCCGCTGCCCTTAACGAGAAGCACTCTGACGACCCCGAGGACATCCGTGTCGGACCTGTTACCACTGCCGACCGTGCCCGCATCACCGAGAAGAACGATGGTCTCATCGAGGAGCAAAGGTCCACCTTCCACTGGAACGACGTCTGCTACGAGGTCCAAATCAAGAACGAAACGAGGCGTATTTTGGATCATGTTGACGGATGGGTCAAGCCCGGTACTCTGACTGCCCTCATGGGTGTGTCAGGTGCTGGCAAGACTACGCTTTTGGACTGCTTGGCTGATCGTACCTCCATGGGTGTCATCACTGGTGAAATGCTGGTTGATGGTTACCATCGCGATGCTTCTTTCCAGCGCAAGACCGGTTATGTCCAACAGCAAGATTTGCACTTGCAGACCACCACTGTCCGCGAGGCTCTCAACTTCTCTGCCCTCCTTCGTCAACCCGAACACGTCCCGAGACAAGAGAAGCTCGACTACGTTGAAGAGGTCATTAAGCTCTTGGATATGGAAGAGTACGCCGATGCCATAGTTGGTGTCCCCGGAGAAGGTCTTAACGTCGAGCAACGTAAGCGTTTGACTATCGGTGTCGAGCTGGTTGCGAAGCCTCCTTTGTTGCTCTTCGTCGATGAGCCGACTTCTGGTCTTGACTCACAGACTTCCTGGGCTATTCTCGACCTCTTGGAGAAGTTGACCAAGAGTGGTCAGGCCATTCTCTGCACTATTCACCAGCCTTCCGCCATGCTATTCCAGCGTTTCGATCGTCTCCTTTTCCTCGCCAAGGGTGGCCGTACTGTCTACTTCGGTGACATTGGTGAGAACTCCAAGGTCATGACCTCGTACTTTGAGCGTATGAGTGGCATGACTTGCCCTCACGACGCCAACCCGGCGGAGTGGATGTTGGAAGTTATTGGCGCCGCTCCTGGATCCCACACTGATGTTGACTGGCACCAGGCTTGGCGCAAGTCTGAGGAATTCCAAGGTGTCCAGGCCGAATTGCAGAGACTAAAGGATGAGCGCGGTGTTCAGATCCCTGCTACCCACGACAAGGGCAGCTATCGCGAATTTGCTGCCCCCTTCTTCGCCCAGCTCAAGGAGGTTACCCACCGTGTCTTCCAACAATACTGGAGAACCCCCTCCTACATCTACGCCAAGGCTGCGCTCTGCACCCTGGTCGCTGCATTCATCGGTTTCGTTTTCTTCAAGGCCCCCAACACCCAGCAAGGTCTCCAGAACCAGATGTTTGCCATCTTCAACCTGCTTACCGTCTTTGGCCAGCTCGTCCAGCAGACTATGCCTCACTTTGTTATTCAGCGGTCCTTGTACGAAGTGCGAGAGCGGCCCTCCAAGGTCTATGGCTGGAAGGTCTTTATGCTCAGCCAGATTATCGTCGAACTTCCCTGGAACACCCTCATGGCTGCCATTATGTACTTCTGTTGGTACTACCCCGTCGGCCTGTACCAGAACGCCATTCCTGCCGATCAGGTTACTGAGCGTGGCGCACTGATGTTCTTGTACCTGCTCGTCTTCCTTCTGTTCACATCGACCTTTACCGACTTCATCATCGCTGGTTTTGAGACCGCTGAGGCTGGTGGCAACATTGCCAACTTGCTCTTCATGCTTTGCCTCATCTTCTGCGGTGTGCTCGCCAACCCCGACACCATCCCCCGCTTCTGGATTTTCATGTATCGTGTATCGCCATTCACGTATATTGTCTCAGGCATGTTATCCACGGCTGTCGCCAACACAGAGGTTGTCTGCGCTGCCAACGAGTTCCTTCACTTTGATCCTCCTTCGGGAGAAACCTGTGGAGCCTTCCTTCAGGACTACATCATGGCTGCCGGCGGATACCTCCGCGAGCCCAACGCCACCACTGACTGCCAGTTCTGCACCATTCAGGACACCAATGTCTTCCTGGCCAGCGTCAAGAGCGACTATAACGACCGCTGGAGGAACTTTGGCATTGCCTGGGTCTACATCATCTTCAACATCTTCGCCGCCCTGGGCTTGTACTGGTTGGCGAGAGTGCCAAAGAAGGGTGGTCTCTTTGGCAAAAAGAAGACCGAGTAAGGACGTTGTCACAATAAAAGTTTTCCTTGATACGAAAAGGATGAGAAGAAAATGAGAGAAAACGACATAAAACGTTGGAGGGATCACGTGTGTATGAGCGAGCTGATTAGAGAGGAGAGCTCGGGTGCAAACCTGGAGGACGTTTTGTAAAGTCCATTGCAGATTGATGTATCTGTGTGGCATTGGTCCACATTTCGGGCGGACAGCTTAAATGTCCATCATGTGTACTTTGTTGATATCCTGCAATTGGGATACTGCAGAGATGGTACATCCCCAGTTTTCCTTATTGTTACTCTTGATAGATAACTAGAAGCAAGCTTCTTGACCGAGCAAGACTGTTCCTATTCTGTGCTAAGAGACGGAATACGCGTTCGTGGTGATTACCCGGGGGTATGTTAGAAATCAGTGAAGATCCCCCAGTCAACTATTCGGCGATGGTCGCGACAGGGGGCGGACGGCCACAATCTATGTCTCCCGTGAAAGTCCATGGTGTGTGGTAAGAGGAATGATTCCGAAAGCTGCCCCATCATACCTCCTCTGAGTGAGTTAAAATTGCAGTGCAAGGTATTCGGTAAAAGTGGAGATTTTCGTCCATCCGGACGTTGATTGGGGGCTTTGGCTTCACCGAGAACTCCATGCAGTCAGCATGTTCGGTAGCTCAAGCTCAGCCTGCTTTTCTGGGCGTACATTGCTTGTCCTAATTGCTTATGGGCTTTCTGAGAGGCAGAATCAGGAGTCGGGCATGCAGGAGTCTTTCCTGGGAGTGGGTGGAAGATGAGGTTGAGCCGGAGAGCCCAGTGTACCTGTCGGATTGGAAGTCCAATTCGACCTCGGGGCAAGGGACCGCGCAGGGGCCACTTACAAACCCATCTCTTTTACACCCTCACGCAGAAATTAATACATTTCAATTTGACCTCTTCGTCAACCCACGGTTCGAACCAACTACCTTGTGATAGGGATACCAGCAGTACCTGTCATACCCGCGGCGACGAGCCTTCTTCCATCTTGAGATTGCGTATTACCTTGAGCTATGATTGAGAGCGCAATTGCTGTGTCGGGTATTTGGAATGTCTACGAGATGGTAGGCTGGCTCACTGTGATGAATTCAATGCATTTGCTATTTTGCTTACTCTGCAGAGTGGACAGAAGGCGAGCTCTGTGATACGAGGCGGAAGCGAGATGTCTGAAGTCGCCATTAGGACTTTGTGAGACAAGCTAGGAGGCTCCTATGTACCACATGGTCTCGAAAGAGCTAGAATCTCGGACAGTGCAGAGCTCTATGAAGGGGGTTAAAATGCAGTGTAGTGACTAAAGGAACCCTCGCCTGGGTCTGGTCTAGCGGCATTGCCATCTGCACTCTTTGCGTCATGTCCTACTTCGTCTGTTCGAGAACGTAGTAACAAAAGGGGTTGCCTCTCAATTTCTCAAATCTTCTCAACTCCCAAATAAGCTCTGCGTCGTGGAACGCTTCAAATCCAACCCCCCCCAATTCACTTGCTACACCCACCCTGCGCTCCAACAGTGTACGTGGCCCCCCGAATATCGTTCGACCCCAGCGTCCCTTTATCTTGACCGCGAGCATCCTCAATAGTAAACGTACCCGCAAGGAAATCGTTTAGGTTCGCAGAGGTGTTGATGCCGTTGACACGGTCGATGACGTGGCATTGTTCGTTTTGGCAGCAGCATTGCGGTGTGCCTACGAAACCGGGCGTGCCACCTTCGACGGCGTCTGGGTCTCTGAAGATTTGGAAGGTTTTGCACTTTTTGGCTTGTCTCTCGGCTGGGAGGATTGGTTAGTTTCAGGATCGAGGGATGGAGGAGTGTGGGCTATGTACTTAGGTCTCTGTTTGGAAGGACTGATGAGGCGACTAGGGTTGCGGTGATGAGAGTGAGGATGTAGGTGCACTTCATTGTGTTCGAAATGTGATGAGTTTCAACTGCAGAATAATGACTTAAAATGGCTTCAAGGTTTGAAATGGCTCGAAAGATGGACTTAAAAGATTGACTTGAGACTGAGAGACAGACTTGAGAGGTGAGCATTCCTTTCATCGTGAATAGGCCGGTATGAAGCTTGCCTTTATAGTCACCAGGCTCAAACCCCGAGATCTATCTTCTCCTCTTCGCTTGTAAGTCCGACGGTGTTCATCATCTGAAATTGTCATCTCACCCAGTCCGCCTCGAAAGCTCGGATGATAGGTCCAGATCCGAGTCAGTCAACCAGGGGCTCCTCAGCCAAGAAATTGACTCAACTGGTCTTCAAAAGCTTAATTCTCGGAAAACCGGAAGCGAATGCTTAGTTAAAGTTCAAGGTACTATCGAAGAGGGGTTTGAAGGTAATACGATACAAGAAATATCTGCGCTGCCCGCCACGTTCTTGGGAGCTAGCTTAGATGCGCACGTTCCCAAGGCTATCCGGTTCTAGAACCCCAATGAGAATGACCCCACGAGCAGAGCCACGATGGTTCCAGGTTGATGATAACTAACTTTTGACTATCGTTGCAAATGCTAATGTACGCGTATGGATTTCGCCGTTCTAAGAGCACTACAGGGGGTGTTCCGGTCGGGATTGACTACTTTACCACGACTGGCTTATAAGCAGCAGAGGATCGAATCTCCTTCAGGCTTGAGGTGTGTCATGTGATGCCATTACTGCAAATTTTGAGGAAATGAATGCTCGTGTTCATCTTGTCTCTCTTCGTGTTACAGAGAGCAGAGCAATCATAGAGACTGGACACTACGTGACACGTAAATGTTCTCAACTTTTGAGTTTCTGGCAGCTCAGCCTACTCGGTTGTAGCCGCCTTGGCCAAGCAGTTCCATTTGAGAGAATAGAGTTGCCGTTTATCCGTAGTGGCTTAGACTGTTAAATGGTATTGCGGAAAGATGTCAGAGAGAGGAAAGAACATGCCGCCTTGTTCGATAGTAAACGAATGACTATGTGCGTCCCGTGGAAGCTACGACAACATTACAGAGGACTTTTTGATCGCTGCGGATACACGAGGTTTAGTAGTGACACTGGGAAGACTTCTCAAGGCTGTATAACCATGAGTCGTCCGTAGCAAAGCGTCTTCGTAACGAGTGGGTCTGAACTCTTGACTCGCAAGTCCGACGGTCCGACCTAATTAGCCCGCGAAAGCCCTGGCATATTCTGAAAATTAGTGCTTCGCAAGTGGACCTGTTTCTGAGTCTGCCTCAACAAGGGAGTACTGGGACGTGTCGTCTTTGGTTGAGATGGGGTGTGGGCAAAGAGCTTAACGCACACTTACATGTAGGTGGTTTGGTCTCTGCGCAATTGTGGTGTTGAAGCCCTGAGGCGGGGTGAGAACGCAGTAACAGGGCAGAGATGCTCACGCCACCACTGACATTGGCAGCGACATTGCGCAGATTCTTAGTGTAATGCTCCTCAACCGCTGTGATTCTCTCCTCGAAGGTTTAGAAAATCACGCTGAAGGGGTTTTTGTCACACTTCGTTGCCATGGTGGTGGGGGATCGGAGAGTATCCCCCAGAAGGAAACATTGATTGAACGAAGTCCTTGGCGTCGATAGCATTGAATATCATGCATCTACCGCCGACGAGACCAAAGCGTCATAAATGGGTTTGGAGGTGAGAGGCCACCAATGTATAGGCAGCGGTTTTTCCCAAATGTGCACTCATTTGACCGAAGTAGAATATCCCGCGCATTCGAGCAAACCCAGCATTGTCTCGTTGCGTTCAAAGCCTTAGTCCGTGGACCAACAGTTCGCAATGGGCCGTAGTGAATCTTTTCGAGACAACATAGGCTTGAGAAAACTCTCGCCAGCGCGTCATTTGAAAGACGCCTGAGACCAAGACGCCATACATGGAAAGTTTTGACAATAGGAACCCATGGCAGCTTGAGAGCCCCGGAACGCAGGGGTAGCAAGTTGCCGAGTAGCCGTCGTTTGGAGCTTAGAGATAAAAACACGGGGTGTACGTTGAACCCCTCCTCTGGCGCGGACCCTTCGTGCAGGGTGATCTGCATCGCTTGGGGAGCCGGCGCCGAACCCGAGGTTGATGCCGCCTGTAGATACGTCACTAGTCCATCTAGAAAGGGAGCTGAACATCTTTTTCAGAGCTTGGGAAAAGATGTTCTGGTTTCCTTTGATCGTTTTTTGATCTCCTGTTTGTCAAATTTGTTGATAGCGTCATATTTCTCAGGACCTATATAGAGCCAAATTCATTTGACGAAATTTTTGCGGTATCCATACACCATCCGATCCGTTTCATCCACATCGGGTGGGGAATGAAAATTCAATGCGGCTGAAGTTCTCACGTTCGAAGAAACCTTGCCATTCCCGGGAAACACTTGCCCAGATTGAGTGGCCATGCTTCTCTTTCACCCTCTGGAGCTGTTCCAGAATCATCAAATCATCAGGCGAATTCAGGCGGCAAGACTGTCCACATACAATATTTCAGTGACGTACAGGGTGTACGTCGTATTGAAACGTGGCTTCATGCTTGCGTAGTTGGTTGATCAACAGGTCAGCTTGTCGAGATAACGGTGGGAGGCGGGGAGTGGTTTTGTGGTGGATATCGTGCGATATGTGGCGACGGTGTTGGAAAATAAGTATGTTGCAGTGGAAATTACGAAGCGCCTGGTCATACGTTAAGACCCAGGTCATTCTTTCATGTACGATCGAGGAGACCAATCTCCTAAAGCCTTCGTTACTCATATTTGCCGCCTAATATGGCGAAAGCTGCCACCGTAGGTCTCTAGGCAAATCTAGAATCTAGGGGCTTAATCTTTGCAAAACTAGCCAATAAGCATTGTTCAATCACATTTACTTTCTACTACTTTATCTATGCAAAGGAGGGCACCGTGTTGCTGGAGCTGATGGCCGAACTCAAAATGCCAAGGTAGTCCACCAACACATCGTCATCCTTGTGTAAATCCTGCTGAACCCAAATGGACTGTATCGTATTCTTGACCGCCTGTATACTTCGTATCCGAACATCTCTTTGGGTTCTCTCGATTAAGTTGATGATGCCAATTCTCTGTTCGTCACTTTGTGCCTCACAAGCAAGAATCAATAAAGGAAAGAAGTGCTCGCAGGTGCATGACTGAACAGGTCCCGCGAAAGCTGCCCCCACCAGAGCATCAAGATTTGCAGGGGGTTCCCATGGGCTCTGCGAGGCCCGCACGAGATATATCTGTGTCGCCATCTGGTACAGCTCCACGGCGAATGCGGCGTCAGGGTCTGCTGTCGATGGGATAGCTGTGTTAATGGAGATATCCCGCACCCTTCCACCAAGGTCCTTTAGTCGATTTTGGTAACTTTCGTTCTGACTTCGGGGGTCCCGTGGGTCCACCAGGGTATCGCAAACCTCGGAAAGCAGGTTGAGAATTGCATACGTCGGGTTCACAGGGGGTATGTTCTACAAGTTCAGCGATTAGGAGGGGTAGCTATTGTTGGTCATGAGTGAGTGAACGACATACGGGTCTGTACCTCGTTAAAGGGGGGTACTGGAGATCTTGCAGCCTTGAATGCTGCTTAATCGACGTCGATGGAATCAAGGATTTGTGGCGCCAATGATGCAAAGCGAACCGAGATTGGGTTTCATGATAGTAAGCCCAGTTCAACAAATGGCCAACGCCGCTGTCGTATGGTTCGTCCTTGAGTTGCGTGGCGTGAATCATGTCCACAGCACCCCATGTGTGCCAAAGCCATTCGCCTGAGCCCTCCGAAGGTTGCATGATCTATGAAGTGAATATTGAGCTCCTCAGTGAGGTCTGATTTGTTAGGAATTATCTTTTTACTTACCTCGAAAGCACCCAGAACCATAGATGCGGCTACATGTTGGGCCGCTTTCCCGACGTGCAAGATCAAGTGCTCGCTCGTCACCGAGGCTGACAGATAATGAATCGCCTGTATTTTCAGCTTAATAGCTTGCTCGTTGAGTCCGTGTCGGTGTAGTGAAGCATAGGCAAGTAAAGCATGGAATAGCGCAAGACCGGAAGTTGTGTCTCGTGCCAATGCCATGCTCATCAGTGCGTTTCGAATCTTCCCCGTATTTTGACCAAATGTGACTAATGACCTGTAGGCAAAGTTCTGGACTGAGGCTGTTGTCAATCTCATAAACTGGGGCTAAATGTCTCCTATTCTTAAGCTTACAGTGATGAAACAGGTCTGGGTCCATATGACCGACTCCAAGTTGAGGCTGCCTCAGGAACCTCGGGAACGACGGAGTTGCATAGCATTCTTGGTTCGGTAGGGAGGAGTAGCCATACAATTCCATGTCATGCGAAGTTGTGTTTATAAAAAAGGGATTGATAGTAATTCTGTTGGATGTGCCCATGGCCGTCACTGCCGGTGCATCAATACCCTTGAGTGCTCGTTTCTTATCGCCTTGCCTCGGCCACGACAATCGAAGTTCGTACCCCTTGCATTCTCGCTGGGATCGGGCACATTTCATGCAGGTTGGCAGAGCTCCATCGCATTGAATCTTACGAGCTGAAGAGGCGTCGTCAGAAAAGTCTCACATGGGTCCCTGAGTCACTGACCTGTACACGTCCAGCAGCACTTTCGTGTCTTCATCGCGGTAACGGATTGACCAGCATCTCCTGGCGAGACTTCACTGGTCACCGTTGTCGGGTCAAGTCGGTAGATGATGCGATTTGTGATGTGCCATGTCAACCCCCTGGATTTGGGCTCGGAGAAAGTTGCTCTCGCTGGGTCGCTGACATTTAAGTAGTCGCATGGAGCAGGTAAGACCAGCCATTTGTAAGCCATCCTCTAAGCCTCTTCAAGATGCATTACGAAAGGACCCCCGAATCCTTTCCATCTATCACTTACCCCACAGGAAGCAACTTTTATCGAGGCTAAGAGCTTTGTGCATCTTGCCGCTTGTCCGTCTTGGGCGATGTGCTTACTTCGGACTTCACTCTTATCCGTCAACCCTTGCGAAAAACGCACAGGTTGGGCGACGGCAAAGCCTCAGTATGCCTAAGTTACTGGGCATTATGAATCAATGAAAGAGACGTTCCAGTTGTTATAGAGGTAAGGCAACATGGTCGGCACTTGGATATAAAATGATCGCTTCAACCTCGCAATGTTAAGCAGTAATTCACTACACAAACACATCCAAATAACACCATCATCATCTCTCTGCTCCCACAATAGCTTATATTCAGTCGACCATTTTTCAGCTACAGACAACATGACTACCTATTTAATCACTCAGGCAACTGGACAGCAGAGCCGCTCGGTCATCTCACACCTCCTTCAAGCTGGTGCCAAAGTGCATGCTGTTGTTCGCGATCTTCAGAAAGTCCCACCCAGCTTGCAGCACCCTAGCATCACCCTCTTCCAAGGTGAAAGCAAGAACTTGGATGGTATCCTCCAGGCAGCCCAAGGTTGCAAGGGAGCTTTCCTGAACACGTTCCCTTACCCAGGCCTAGAGGCCTTGCAGGCTAAGACCATTGTCGAAGCATGTCAGAAAGCTGGCGTCGAAAGTGTTGTTGCAGCTACAACCCACGGCACAGGAAGCAAAGATTTCTGGGATGACAACGTCACTAGGGAGATCCAGCTGCACCAGTACTTTTGTTCCAAGGCAGAAGTTGAGGAAATCGTCCGGGCCGGAGGGTTCAAGTCGTACACTATCCTCCGCCCAGCTGTCCTCCATTTCGACTTCTTCGTACCGGGCGCTTACGGAAACTACCCTCGTCTCCCTACACATGGAGAGATTGACGACGTTCTTGTCAATGGTGCTCGCGTGCCTTACACGGACGCGAACGACGTCGGCAAATACGCTGCGGCGGCCCTGCAAGACCCGACCAAGTTCAATGGTGAAGAAATTAACATGGGCCATGAACTCTACACCATGGAGGAAGTGCGTGACATCCTCGTCAAGGTTAGTGGCAGAAACGTGGGAGTGACTAAGAGAACTCCCGAAGAACTAGAAAAACTGGGCATTAGCGTGTTTGGCCAAAAGTTCCATATTATGTCCAACGTCAAGGATCTCAGCTGGACCACTCAGTCTTCCAAGGATGTTGGGGAGAAGTTCGGCATGCCCTTGGGTTCCATTGAGGAGGCGTTGCAGAGAGACAAGGCTCAGCTTTTGGAGTGTTTGCCTGAGAACTAGTCTCATTGTGGACAGTAGAGTATTTGTAGTCATCAATTTGTGTGAATTCAAGAACCAGTATGTTCTGCTTAGGTACTGTACCCTGTAGATTGAACTTAATATTACAAGATGGATGGTCTCGTAACTGCCGTGTATGACATGAAGTTCTATATTTGCAACCACCTCGACAGCTTTCCATGAATATGTTCATAAGCTTCTCTTTATATCAACAGTAGTTCATCCCAACCTTGCCAAGCAGGTATGCACCGAAATGCCCCAATCCCTCTGTCAAGTTTGTTGGTTGCATCATCGCCATTAAAAAATTGATGTAGCGGGGTCCGGCAGCGGCGCTGCCCCGCAAAGACGGGCCCGTGGATAAATCAAGTGATTTACTTTGAATTTAACCGTAAACTCAGAAAGGCCACCATGACTAGTAGCACTGAGACAGTTGAACAAGCTCTTCGCAGTGCCCCTTGGCGAAACAGAGAGAAATTAGACGAGGAGCAAGTCGATCGTAGTTTTCTGTGATATTACTACTAGGTACTGTGAAATGCTACAACAAGGTCTCAAGCTTCGCCAAATCAATCGAGAAATCATTGCATCGTCCATCACCCAGACTGCAGCGGGCCTGCCAAGGAGAGGGGATACAAGAACATGCTGCGATAATCTAACGATGCCGGCGTACTAACCAATCCAAGTATCGTCTGCCGGCACTTCCCCATCATGTTTGTCGTTACATGCGGGGAAAGTGGATATAAACAACTTCCAAGGTTGTAGATCACCACTCCGAAATCCAACGCTTCGGGTCAATGCTACCCGCCAAAATGTAATAAGAAGCGGCTACCTGCATCAGCCGGTGGGATTGAGGTACTCGGTTTTTTTAGTTCAGCTGTCCAACCTGAACATCATGGGAGTGCTTCACAAGTTTGCCATTGGCCTCAGCGGCGCCGTGGCCGGGCTATCCGGATTTGTGCAAGCAAAAGACTACACGCCATACGTCGACCCATTTCTTGGCACCGAGGGCCCCGAGCCCGGGTCATCTTACCAAGGCGGGAACACGTTCCCCGGCGTGACACTTCCGTTCGGAGCCGTGAAAATCGGCATCGACACCACGAGATGGGATACCAGGTATCAAGCTAATGCGGGTTACACCGTCGAAGGAAATGTCACGGCAATTTCCATGTTGCATGTCAGTGGTACGGGAGGCGCCCCTACGTACGGCCTCATCCCGCAAATGCCTCTCACGACTCTGGAAGGGGTGAATTTTCTCGACAACTTGACGTACATGCAGCCGAGGGCTAAGCATGATATTGCCGAGGTCGGCTACTATAAGACATCTCTGGAAAGTGGTGTTACAGCCGAGATGAGCGCCAGCATGCACGTCGGCATCATCAAGTATGAGTTCCCTAGCGATGGCGGCCGCCATATTCTGGTGGATATTAGCCACTACCTGCCGACCCGCGGAAAGGAGTCTCAATGGTACAGCAACGGCTATCTGGAGCGTAGTGAAGATGGTTCTTCGTACACTGGTTATGGTATATATAGGGAAGGCTGGTCTCTTGGTGAGTTGAAATACGATATACCTCTAGGATGATGGCCAATCCTGACTGCGATAGGCGGCGACTTCAAGATCTACTTCTGTGGGCAGTTTGATAGCGTGCCCGAAGACGTCGGACTCTTCTCCGGCATCTACACGGACCCGTATTGGCCCAATACCACAGATGTCAAGCCATTCTACAACAACGACACGACGGTCAAAGGCGGCGTAGACGGGTACCAGTACGCCAACCGAGTCGGAGGCATCTTTACATTTTCACCTAGTGTGGCTAGTCTGACGTCTAAAGTGGGAGTGTCATGGATCTCCTCCGAGAAAGCTTGCCAATTCATCAAAGACGAAATCCCCCATAATGACCTCAATCAGACGGTCAGCGAGGCAAAGTCTCAATGGAACGACGAAGTTCTTTCCAAGGTTGATGTCAAGACCGAGAACCAGACGCAGTTGGAGATGCTCTACACTGGACTTTACCATGCTCACTTGATGCCCTCCGACCGAACTGGGGAGAACCCTCACTGGACGACCGAAGAGCCGTATTATGACGACTTTTACACGCTTTGGGATACTTTCCGCTGCACTCATGCGCTAATCTCGTTGATATTGCCTAGTCGGCAGGTTGATATGAGTAAGTACTGACGTTTAAAGTCCCCACGGTTGTGACAGGCACTCACAAAAACCAGTTCGAGCCATGATCGACATCTGGCGACACGAGCGATTCCTGCCGGAGGGTCGCAGCCATAACCACAACGGTCGAGTTCAAGGTGGCTCCAACTCTGACAACGTCCTCGCCGATGCTTACGTGAAGAAGCTCGACACTAATGGCCTCATTAACTGGGCGGATGGATATGCTGCTGTGCGAACCAACGCCGAGTTACAGCCATATAACAACTTTGACTTCAACGACCCAACAGGAAGCACCAAGGAAGGTAGAGGCGCCTTAGATGACTGGAAGAAGTATGGCTACGTTTCTGTCAACTACGGTAGAAGCGTGAGCAAGACCGTCGAGTACTCTCTGAACGACTTTGCCGTGTCGCAAATTGCCAAGGGTGAGGCACCTGAAGAGGCGGCAACCTATTTGAACCGCTCGACGTAAGTTCTCTTGTCTACGATCTGATTTATAAGGGCCATAACTTACGGAATCAGCGGTTGGCAAAAGATCTGGCTCAAGGATGCCAAGGCACTCAACTTCACCGGCTTCCTCGCTCCCCTCAAACCTAATGGCACAGTCTTCCCAGGCTACAGCCCACTCGAATGCGGAGAATGCAACTGGGAGGCCATCTCGTACGAGGGAACGCCATGGGAGTACAGCTTCACCGCACCGCACGACATGTCTACCCTGATAACCTTGATGGGGGGCCCCGTCAGCTTCGAACATCGACTCGACACGAGCTTCATCCCCGGGTTAGCCGAGCAGGACCAAGGAAATAACGGAATCGGAGACATGATTTACAATCCCGGAAACGAACCAAGCTTCATGACGCCGTTCTTGTACAACTATATCGGACGTAGGCAATGGAAGAGCGTGATGAGGAGCAAGCACATTGTCGACGACTATTACCACGTCGGCGCGAGCGGTATCCCCGGTAATGACGATGCGGGAAGTATGAGTAGCTGGCTCGTGTGGAGCATGCTCGGTTTGTACCCGGTGGTCACGCAACCCATCTACCTTGTTCTTTCCCCCCGATTTGAGGAAATCAGCATACGACTGGGCGTAGACGGCGGGCTCTTGCGGATCACCGCAACTGGCCTTGAGCAAGGCCCGTATGTTCAAAGTCTTAAGGTGAACGGCAAGGACTGGGACAAGAGTTGGGTCACTCATGAAGATCTTCTCGGGGAGAACTTAGAGGGAGGTCAACTTGAGTTTGTGTTGGGCGCGGAGCCCGCGGAGTGGGACTCGGGCGAATTACCGCCCAGCCCGGGTGCACTTTGAGAGCTCGGTTTCCCAATTATACGGAAATGCAGATGCGGTACTGCCTAATGTATGTACTAATCTCGCCGAATCTTTGCCGCAAGTAGACACGTTTGTGTGGAGTGTCATCTGGTCACCTAAACTTCATCTTGACCCTCTCGCAATGTTGCTGCTCGCTTTGGATGAAGAATGATCTGCGATATCTCCTCGCTTTTGTTTAGAACTCACATCTCGGATTCAGAAATAATTGGGTTGACATGAGTTACTTGATTGAGCTCACTTAATTTGGGACCATACATTCAAGCGAGCTTGCAATAAGACATGCCATAGATGATCTAACCAGGTACCATGGGTCGCATATGCAGCTGTCGAGTCCTCAACAGGCAAGTCACAATGGCGAATGAGACCCTCGAAATACAACGTCTTCATCTCAATCGGCGCGTTCGCTTTCGCAATGTTTCACAGGGATTCTCGTAAACGGCCCGTCACCCCGAAGTTGATCTTAGATTTAATGGGGGAAGTCTCCAGCTGCAGGGTTAAAGACACAATGTGACGACCTCAATCATCAATGGACTGCCACAGGCTGATCAGCCTACCAGGTAGAGAAAAACGGCCGAGCAAATGGGCACCCCTTGATAAAATCTGATTCTAGCGTAACACTTGTGTTGTGTGTCTTGACAAGAAAAAGGCAACAAGTTGCGATGTGATTGCAGATCTTTCGAGAACGCTCCCGTCTCACCCTCATGGCTAAGATAGTGTTATCCCTGTGCAGCCTGGACTTTGTCTAATTGAGCAAAATCTACACTGTTTTGGGCCGGCGGTATGAACTAAGATATATGAATACTATTTGTGCCTTATAAGAAATACGCCTAAAATGCCTGCGAGCTATGTAACTTGTAGTCTATGTGTAGAACTTGTGTGAAAGTGTCGTGTCGAGTATGAGAAGACGGAGAGTTGCGGGGCAATGATTCCTGGTTCGCGTTCCGTCCAATGTCTGAGGAATAGATTCAACGCCTGACCGGCTTCAGGTAGGCATTCAGAGGACCCTTCTCCCAGAGCAGGTAGATCTTTTGCCTGCTAGCCCAGTCACGACTGTCGTCGGCAATCTTGAGGTCAAAGTTCCACAACATGCGGGTGACAATAAGGCGCATTTCGACGTATGCCAAGCTGAGTTGACAATAGATGTCAGCAATCATTCACCAAAGTCCGGAGGTTGAGCTCTGAAAGAGATCCAAGGAAAACTCACTTTCTTCCAATACAGTTGCGAGGTCCAACGTGGAACGGCTGGAAGGCCTCCTTGTCATCGCTGGCGAAAACGGGATCTTGCATCCATCTCTCGGGGTGGAACCCAAAGGGATCGCGAAAGTTCTTTTCGGAGTGATACATGGCCCACTGGTAGACGGAAACAGTTGTCTGCGAAGACCGATTGTCAGTTTTGGTCATATTACGATAGAATGCTGTCAGTTCTACTTACGTCTTCGGGCACGAAGTGATCCGCGATAGTCGCGCCTCCCTTGGGGACAATGCGGGGCAGACCGATAGGCACAGGAGGGTACAGGCGGAGCGCCTCTTCGAGGCATGCGAGGAGGTAGGGAAGGTTGCTGACGGAAGTGAAGTCGATCTCACTCTCTTCCTTGAATGTGGAGCGAATCTCGTCGGTCAACTTCTTGTGCGCATCGGGGTTCGTGAGCAAGTAGTATGTTACACCGGAAAGCAGTGTCGCCGTAGTCTCGGAACCGCCGATGATGAGAATGCTGCTGTTGGCCTTGAGCTTCTCAAAAGTCATGTTCTGTCAAAGAATGTTAGTCTTTACGTTTCCCTGAAGTCTTGAAGACTTTTCGCAACGTACCCAGTCCTCCTTCTTCTTCAAGAGACCCTCAATGAGGTCAGGACGCGAGCCCAAATCCATGCGACGTCTGAGCTTTGCCTCGGTAAACTCCTCGTGGTGTGCTCTTTCGCGCTTGGCCTTCTCAGGGACCATAGCCATCATCAGCTTCATGACAAATGGGTAGTGCTTTCCAGTTTGCAAGACAGTGCCCAACCGCGCCATCTGGAAAATTGCGGCAACCCAAGGATGGTAATCTGAGCCGTCAAGGCAGCCAAACGATTCACCAAAGGCAAGATCACCGATAATGTCGAAAGTGGTGTAGTTGTACCATGCCGCAAGATCCAAGGGCTTCGCGCCGTCATCGCCGTGCTGATGAAGTCTCTGGATGAGCAGGTCGACGTATCCCTTGATCATGGGCTGCTGGTCGCGCATGCTCCTCTCGCTGAAGCCGTGCGCCAGGGATCTGCGCAGAACAGTGTGCTCCTCGCGGTCTGAGCTGACAATATCCGCGGGAGCGCCGGGGACGGAGCGGTAAAACTTGAGCGACTTCTCCATCTCGGCGCCGCCCTGGGTCTTGTGGCCCATGATCTCCTTCCAGGCGCGGGAGTCGTGGAAGGCGAGCTCATCGGGGGCGATGCGCACGACCGGACCGTACCGCCTGTGCAGGTCGAGCATGTCAAAGGGGAGCGTGCCGGTGAGGAGCTTGTAGCAGAACGGGATGCGGGATGTGCGCATCCATATCGGGCCAGGAAACTTTCGGAGCGGGTGCAGGAAAAGGCAGTAGAATGCTTGGGCGAGCTGGTAGGCGACGTACTATGCATTGGAGAGAAAGTTTGTTAGATTACGGTGTCTGATTAAGTAGTGTAGCCTCACGGAGCTGAAAGAATCAAGCTTTCAAGTGCCGGCCGGGGTAGAGCGGGAGACGGGGGACTTACAACGCCTACCACCAAACCAAGAGTATTGACGAAACCAAGTTCTAATAACTTCATGTTTGCGAATAGAGTCGGTTCTCTGCAAAAGCCACGATGCGACAGAGATGGGAAGGGGAAAGGTTGAAAGATGCAGAGTTCGAGAATGAGTTGACAACCAGACCTCGAATATCAGCACATGGCAGGGCGTTCCATCGAGCTGGTTTTATTCCCAAGTTCAGACTCTCAAGTTCAGACGAAAGCGAGTTACGAGTAAGATAAAGAAGATGTCTAAGCCTTAAAGGCGGGGAGGGGGTGTGTGTCTTGCTCTCCTTTCCCCATAGCATCATGGCATGGCGGCGGACTTTTGGGCAGCGTTTGAACTTGGTCTTGGACGGTTTCTCTCAGGTCCCATCTTTTGCAGAGGAATGGCGTGTGACAAGCGACCCTCCATCTCCATCCCATGGTTGTCCCGCCCCCAGTATGCCATGCTTTGGATTCCTTCTCTTTCCCTTCTGCGGAAGAAACTCGAACTCCACTCATGGCGTTTCACTACAATTACCGACATGGCGAACAAATGGTAACCGTCCTGGGCGTGGATCACATTAGTGTAGCAGTAGCAGTAGCTTAGCTGTCGCGGCCCGCAGCCGGTGATCAGTGCTTTACTGCTTGCCTCCTCAAGGCAACGATAGGGCAAGTCTTCCAACGTTGTCGTGTAAAGAAAAGGGATCGGTCTCGTGTTCGGTCTCGCACTGAGGGCCCTTCCATCGTGGTCGTCGATCGTTTGGCACCGTGGACGGGGTGCTCCGTGCCATGCGTGCAATGTGCATAAGGGGGTGGTGAAAGAGGAACCGGGAACGCTGCAACGGTTCAGTTGCCATCAAATGTCTTGGGATGTGCCAAGTTGGATTCGGGGGGGGGGGGGGGGTTTGACGAATCACAAAGCCACAATTACGATGCCGCGGCAGCTTTACTGCTTTTACGCGGGGATCTTGGCCGTTGAGTGGGTTGTTTTGAGGTCCGTCTTGGCCTAAGCTAGCCTCGAGGTTCGAGCCCTTCCCTCCACCGACTGCCCATCCGATTATTCATTACTCGTGCTTTTTGTGGTGTGTGTGACTTGTGTGTGGTGTGTGGGGGGAACAACCATGACGAAAGTCGAGACGCAGGCGGACTTGTCATTGGAGACCTGACGAGTTTGCTGGTTCGAGAGATGGCTGCAGATCAGTACGACGTCCCGTCAAGCTGGATGAACCCCCAATCTCTACGACGGGTTTTTGGATGACATCGACATCCCGAGACCGACCCCGAGATGGGCTTCCCAGAGATCGCCACAGGCAAGTCAGTCGTGGCAGTGAATGAGACATCGCAGAATGGCAATAACGCATTGCTGACTTGCTAAATCCGACGAAACACCTGATGAGCGGAGTTTCTCTCTACCATGGTAAAGTAGTTGAAGAGTGGCTGGATGAGACGCATAGCACTAGTTGGCGATGACCATTAACATCGCTTGGAGTACGAAAATTCACAACCTTTACGCAGCGCGGGAGTCGGGAGTGATTAGTTATTGCTACCCACAAACTTTCGGGAATTAAGCAACACCTCGGAGGACAGAACGAATCCGGGATTGAACGATGCTCGGCTTTACCCCTTGCGGTTACCTCTTGGGTTGTTAGCTGTGCCAAGTCGGGGGATTGACGAGCGCCGACTTCCGCGGCAAACTCTTGTAAATAAACTCTCGAGCTCCCCCACTCCTACTCGTGACGGGATGCTGGCTGTGTTGATATGAAGCGAGGCAGACAAGTTTTGATCGTGAAGGGCGCTGCTGTTTCTTTCCTGACCGTTGACCTCTCCCTTAATATTTCTAGTCCTTCGATTCCAAGTTCTCTAGTATTTTTGATTCCTTTGCGAAAACTCACCTGCTCCTTTAGTTTGGCCTCGTCTTTTCTCCCTTCAGGGCCATGTGGGCGGGCATGTGCGTTTGATGGGTATCGAAATGTCCTAGGTAATTACCACGCACTCACGAATAAACTTCACGTCACGGTCTCATGAAGGCGTCAAGTCCTCATTCTCCCCAGGGGTTTTGAGAAAGGTAGGCTTCTTCTCGGGGACCACTGGTGTTTACGTTCATCTCTACACCCATCGACCTTGTTTCCAGGAGACTCGAATGACGCTTCTGCTGTTGATTGGCACATCCGTCCGAAGCGTTCGCCCAGCCACGCACGCTCTCTTCACAGCCATGAAACTGCACCCATAGTACAACTATGCGCAGCAGCCTACACGCATTCACAGATTGCAAAGACTGAGCCCTCTATCGCGTGCCCACAAAACATGTCAAATATCTATGTCAAACCAACGAGCCTGATCTTCCGCATCAAGATATTCTGCCCAAACAATTGGCCAACAGATTTTCTGCTGGGGTCCCGTAGAGTTTCGCCTGATCTGCAAGCAAGTCGCAGGGTCCCAGCCAGGACTTCCCCACGATCGGTCCGGTCCGAAGACCTTCGGCCGACGAGCCCTCTTTCCAGCAGATACAGGCCCTCGATACTGATAGTGAGAGAAAGCCTTGGCGCAGTTCATGATGGGCAGAAAACTTTAGTTTCAAGAGCTGAAAATAAGGCTTTCAAGGCGCCATCGAGTGTTTGGCATTATTGCAGCATTAATAGCTGTCAAATCCCCATTCGAATTGCACACCGTGCTGACCAGAATCCGCTGCTTGTCTGACCGCAAAACATTTCCCCAACGATGGATCGAGTGGCTTGCAGGTTGCTTGCCGGCCATCGACGCCAGTCCGTGAGACAATATCTGAGCTGCAACATAAGACGACGCCTCCTGCTGCATACATACAGTCAAGTTATGCTCCCCAAGACACTTGATAAAGTTCGGCGTTCGTCCACTCCGGAGCATGCGATTACCCCTCCTTTTCTCGATTTTGTCTTCAGCTTCACCTTTCGTAGCTGCTGGCGAGCCCCCCTGCGAAAATACGAACTCAACGTTGAACGACTCGCTGTGTTGATTGAGGGTGTCTGCCTCTAGCGCGCAATAGATCCATCATGCTGGACATTGCAATTGTTGGCGCCGGAATCGCGGGGCTTACGGCAGCAATCGCGCTCCGGCGAGCAGGCCACTCGGTGACAATATACGAAAGATCGTCCTTGAACAACGAGATCGGTGCCGCGATCAACGTGCAGACGAATGCTTCGCGTCCGCTGGTGGCGCTGGGTATGGATCCGGTCAGGGCGAGGTTCGTGATGGCCACGGACAGCCGACTCATGCGGGGGGATACCTTGGAGGTGACCCACGAACTCAACCTAGGGGCCATTGCAAATAGTTACGGCTCGCCGTGGTACTTTGCACACAGGGTCGATTTGCATGAGGAACTGAAGCGAATGGTGACTGCGGCTGATGGCGGCCCGCCTGTAACTTTCAAGTTGCGGAGTGAGGTGACCAGTTATGTGAGCTTGTGTGGCTTAGGAATCTGACTCTGTGCAGAGACATCGACATGCTGACGGTGTAATCAGGATCCAGAAGCTGCCAGCTTTACTCTTCGAGGTGGGACAGTCGTTTTTGCGGACCTCGTAGTAGTGGCGGATGGCATTCACAGTGGCGGCGTCGAGGCAATTCTGGGGTCACCCAATCCCGCGTTCCCAGCGGCACAAGACAACTTTTGCTACCGGTTCTTGATCCCCATGGATAACGTGCTTTCGGAACCCATCACCTCCAACCTATATAAAGACGCAGCTGGAGGCTTCAGAATATTCCTCGGGGACGGCAAGAGAATCGTCACCTATCCATGCAGAGAGTATGTTGATCAGCCGGCATTACCCACTGAATCTGCGACTGACATGATCTAGCAATGAGGTGCTCAATTGCATTGCTATTTTCCATAACGAAGTTGATTCTTCTAGCAAAGAAGGTAAGTGTGTCTGCATAAGCGTTGTGGTGGCATGCAGGTCGAGGCCACCAGGGGCAGCAGTGCTCAGCTTTGCTGGCTGGAAAGAACGAAGAGCTAACCTTCATTCTCAGACTGGCACAACTCTGTTGACAGATCCCACTTACTGAAGCTTTTTGATTACTTTCACCCCAGTGTGTTGGCTCTTCTTCGGTAAGTGAGAACTTCAAGCAACGCAAGTCCTGGCGGCTGACGGGTTTCATAGCAAGGCAAACGAAGTGAAGCAATGGCCTCTACTATATAGAGCCCCTATACCCAAATGGAGGAAAGGTCGAATGATTCTCATTGGGGATGCAGCACATCCCATGCTTCCACGTAAGAGATTCATTCTCGGTCTTCTTTGGCCTAATTTGTCGTGCCTTTACTCACATACTGCTTGTAGACCAGGGGCAAGGAGGTGCGCAAGGCATCGAGGACGGCGTTGCCCTCGGCGTGTGTCTATACAACACAACCGCAAAAGACGATGTGATAGAGAGACTGGAAGTATTCGAAAAGATTCGCAGAAATAGGGCCAGTGTGGTCACCATCTTCAGCAACGCAGGACAAGACGAGGCGCAGAAGATCAAGGAGGCTGCGTCGCAGTTCATACCTGTCGAGCGTATTCCTAGTGAGTCACGCCGCCGATGCAAGGACACACATCTAATTGAATTGAGCAGCAAATCCACGTGGATTCTATGATTTTCATTTCAGTTACGACATCATGGAAGACGCGGCCGAACACATGCGGAAGCTCGATCCCAACTTTAGGCTTCCCGATTCGTTCCTGCGGAACGAGCCAGGAAATCGAGCGTTCTTGTGAGCGAGGAGGAAGTAAGCGATGGAATCCATGAGAGGTTTCAGTCGTGAATGATCGTGGCCTGCTGTGTAAGATTGAAGCTATTAATGCTCTCGTTTATGGGGTACTTCCTTCCACTTGGTCAACGCACGCTAGTCAAGGTACCTGAGGATGTTGGATACTGAAGGAAGGCAGGACGGTACTACTTGATTAATCTCAGAGAAGAACCAGCGTCATTTGGGTTATGACAAAGCAGGAGAAGTTTGCATCGCTCATGCCAATCCTGAAAGTCGTGGTGGCGGTGGTGTTTGATGTGGCCTCGGGGTCTTCCTCCGTTTCTCCGCCACCCTTCGTCGCATCAACATTCGGGCCATGTTCATATTCCTATATATCTTTAACCCTGGCTTTTCCTAGGGCTGGCCGTCTTGTCTGACTGACCCATTGCAGTCGGCAACTTTCTACGCCATCACTAAATACCTCAGCGGAGGCGGCAAGCTTCTCGAGCTCTTCCATTGTTTCGGATCACGAACGAGGGCGGGCGACTTGGCGACCTGTCACCATCATGGATCGCAGCGCCGACAGATGGAACGAAATTTCACCATTGCTCCGGTTTCTTATTGTTCTCGGAGTGGTTGAGACACTTGCTACCATCCTATATTTCGGCATCACATTGTGGTACCTGGCTAGACACAAAAAGCCGATCGATGATGAGAGCGTACGTCCCGTTGCTTGCCCACTCCTCCCAGTACATGACTGACCCAAGAACCTTCTTTCTTAGCAGCCCCATACCAGCACCAAAGGGATACGCGGTGCCCGCGGCATCGTCGTGACAATGAACAAGATGAAGGAACAAGCCCCTCTAGCTCGCATCGTCTTGGCCCCCGAACGAAGAGGAGGTCCTCGGGAAGAAGCCTGGACCGATCAACCTTCCGTCAACACCCTCCGTTACAGCAGCTACCCCATTGTATGCCGTTCCAGAGGCAAGTCGCAGCAGATACTCGCTCTCAATGATGGCACTTCAATCGTACGATCAGTCTTGACTGCAGGCGGTACAACTACGGTGGGAACGCGAAGGATGGATGGGACCCTGCCGAAGGGCGGGCTTTCTTCACTGCATTGGCAGGCCTACTGATACACTCTACGACTTAGTAGTATACACTCTCCACCACTTTAGCTCCTGTCTTCCGCCCGTGACTGTTGTTCCGGTGCGTAGACCCGCTGAACTGCGCGGTCGTGGGCCGCCTTGAGCAGCACCAGCTCGCGTTCGTGTCTGCTCCGCATCTCCCTAGCATCGGGAGGCAGCATTGTCTTGTACAGAGTCTCTCTCGCCTTGACCTCGGTACAGCGTGCCAACACGGTCACGCTTGCCAGCCATGCGGCCAGGAACGCGAGGAATGCTTTCTGTCCCATCAGCCAAGAGTCCAGGCCGAAGAAGTGCACTACCAGCAGCGTCACACTCAACAGGCATTGAGCGATGGGCAGCGCCAAATCCACAATAGGCCACACATTTGGACCAAAGGCGCCTCTATCCTTCATCTTTTCTTCGTAATTCATCAGTTCGTTTTTCCACTTGAACTCGCATTCGTGTGCTGATTTCATGTCTACGAGGCGCAGATGGTATGCCTCCGTCGCGTATACGATACGCGAGTGCCGCTCTTCGTACGAGTTCTTTGGCTCAGCCCACTCGGAGAAGAGGGCATCGAGCTCTGCTTTTGCCTCGCGGACCAGTCGAGCTCGCCGGCGAGGCGTATCGGGAGCCTCGACTCGGGTTCCCGCGGGTACTACTTGGGTTGGTGTTGATGACCTCGTCCTTGATACTGATAGAAAAGGCAAGGTTTTGTCGGTTTCGATGGTTGGAGATTTCCCTAAAAAGTCTCCTGATTCGTACTCGGTCGGGTCCGAATCTATTGGGTGTGCTTCATAATCGTCGTCGGACCCATAATCGCTTTCGCCGTCACTCTCACTCTCACCGTCCTCGTCCTCGCCCTCGTACTCAACATCGTCATCCTCACTCTCCTCGGCTATGAAGCTAGGGCCGAACCGATAAGGGTCCTGGTCAGCGCTCTCACGCGCAAACATTTCGCAGATTTGGATCAGCGCGTCAACGCATCTCCTGTCCAGCTGCGAATCACTCTGCACCTCCTGCTCCCTCTCGCATACCCTGCCGATCGTGTCGATGCACTTGTTCACAACAGCAAACTTTGCATTCTGCTCGGTCACGCTCGCCGAGGTCGACGCAATCGCCGCGCCGGCCTGTTGCTTAGCCAAGTCCCTCAGCTCCTCCAGCGTCTCCTCGACCTTGTCCAGCCGCTCCACCACGTTGGAAAAGCTCCCCACCGATTCTGTGGGACTATCATCCTCATCCTGCTCCGGGACGGCCTGCGGGAATGACGCGAAGCACATTTGAGGCGCGTACATGGGCGAAGGGGCTGTATGCGGTCTCTTTGGCGAGTTTATCGTGCCCGGCGATATTGCGCTCGCCGGGGACATGGGCGATATGGTGGTGCTTACTGATGACCGCCTTTGAATCTCTGTCCAACCTGCCACCATGCGCTTCATAAACGCTGCCTGTTCGGGCATGATCTTGACGACCTCATCGGCTGCACTGGAAATAAAGTCGTCCGGCAGGAGAACGGGGCAGGTTGATGAGCGGCGAAAGGGCGGCATGGAGACCGCCGTGGATGGGCGGCTGCTGTAAGTCGCCGTGGACGGACGGCTGTCATTCTTTTTTTCGGTACGTTCTGACTCGGAGGTTGTGTCCTGGAGCTGCTGTTGCTTGTAGGCGTCCACCTCGTCAAAGTAGCCGTCCAGGCTTTGTGAAGATTTGCGCGATGAGGCGGGCGTCTCGATGCCGTCGTAGCTCTCGTCTTCCTCGTCCCCCTCTTCCTCATCATCGTACTCATCGCTGGAGAACATCAAGTCACCGAGTTCCTCAGAGAGTCGTCTTGGTGCGAAGGTGGGGGACCCTTGTCGGGGACTGGCTGGGAGATCCCTCATTGTGCTGGTGTGTTTTGTTCCGTTATGTGTGTAGAGTTGATGAGCTGTTCAAAGGTCTCAAGTGAGGCTCCGGTTTTGAGAATTATGGATGAGTGAGTTGTTGCTTTGCGTGGATGAAGCGCAGTTTGGAGTGTTGGTCTTGGTCAGCTCCCAAGTGGGCGCTGGTTGGGATGAGGGATTGCGAATTGCAGCAAGGGGTGTGAGTGAGTGAGGAGGGATGCGTAAAGGGGAGGGGACCCTTGGCGCGGGGTGAGTGGGCTGGGGGGCTGGCGGTGAGTGAAAAAGGCCGCACGATGGTCAGTTTGCGTTGCTGCTGAAGGCTGACTTTGATCGCCCAAAGAGCACGATCCTTTTTTCAAGATCTCGGGGATATTTTGTTACGATGAAGGAAAGGGAAAAAAAGATGAGATGGAGCGATCTATAGAGCTAGGATGAAACCTTTCGGAAACGGCTTGCCGTGGTTTGTGGTTGGGTGCAGTTTTAAGAAAAGCTGCAGCCGGAAAAGACTAAAAGACTCAAAAGACCAAAAGGAAAAAGAGGAATGTAGTATGTATGTAAGGTAAGGTAAAAAGGTATGTATGCAAGTCTTGCAGATGCGCAGAAGAAGGTGTTTCCGATCGGCGGTCAAGATAAACTTCGGTCAAGACCTAGGCACGGACGGGACGTCCATCCACGAACATGAGTATATGACTGCTGTATGGGTACGAAGTATGGCTGACGAGACTGAGAGGTCAAAGGTATGAATGGATGGATGTATGAGCAAGTGAGTGAGTGGATGGGTACAGTAGACCACAGAGAGAGAGAGAGGCAAAAAGAGTGGAATCCAACGCAAGAGAGAGACGAATGATACAAGAAAGAAGAGAGAATGAGGGATAGCGCGCCTCTCGAAAGGGGATATCCCAAGTCGAATCACGCGAACGAAAGGTAAGGGAAGGTGAAGATGGGTGGATTGCAAAGAGAAAGGGCAAATCGGCCGTTGGCACATGCGAGTTTGTGTGCGTGGGTTGTGGAGTTCGTTCTGCAGCAAGCTACACTTTTAGCTGGGGAGGGGTTCGTTCCAATTCGTTCTGGATCTGGCCCAAAGTGCGAAAGACTGACAGGGGTTTCTGCATCACTTTGGGAGACTTTCGAGAGTCTGGGCTGGACAACGCAGTTTCTGTCGGTCTACCCGTCCATCGGTCGAGACCCCTCCGGCCGGTCACCAAGTTTCTCGGATCGCGGAAACAAGATTCAAATGCGTCAAGCATGGTCGTCTGAAGAGAGACTTCAGTGTTGTCGTCAAATGTCGTTACCCATTGATGTATAAATGTAATATCGTACTGTACAGACTTTGTCCATCCCTTGGAAACCCTGCCTGATAAAAAAAACCCCCCCAAAAAACCAAACGACGGCCAGCGACGGCCAGTGGTATCATAATCTTCGTTAATGCAATTTTTGGCCATCTTCCATCCCTCTCCCTCCCTTTTGTCGGCGTCCCTCTGGTCGGTGACTCTCCCTCCTCGAAAAAACAAATGTCTCCATAAAGCGCGGCCCAAAGCCCACCTGCATGATGCCACGTCAAATATCCCCTGTAGCTGCAGCAAAAGGGCAGCAAAAAATACACAGTAGGCAAAAGCCATGGACCCCTCCTCGGCTAGGGAACAACGCCGCAGCCGCCGTGCTATCCCCACACACCGCTCTCTGCCTCCCAAACCCAGCCACCTCACCGGACGAACCATCCGCGGCGGAGATCGCTTGTGCGCTTGCACACGCGTGAGCGTGGGCGTGGTACGGTCAGGGCCTGGCAGAGAGGCACTACTACTTCGTACGCACGCGATGCCTTACGTCGGGTTTCAACTGTAACCGTACTGGATCCCAAGACCGACTTTTGGGTTGTCGCCGCCAAGGGGACCGCCCACCCGCATCTTCTTGGTCGGGCTCACCATATCCGATCGTGCCTCTTGACCATGGCTGTTAGACCCACCCCCATTGAACTTGCGCTTGTCCGCACCACTTTTAGTGATGCCAGAGAACAGCTTTGCCTGGAGTCTGGCGCTCTTCTCTGCCGGTGCCGGTGTGCCGTCGCGAGAACCAACGGAGCTGGCCACCTCGAAGCTCTCACGGGGATCGCGGCGCAACATCTCTGACGCCGCCTGGCTCGCTTGGCTCTCGTAGACATCCTCGTCATCGTTGCCACTGCCGCCGGGGAGAGGACGACGAGCACCACGTGAGTTGCGAGACGCTTGCGAGAGGAACGAAGCCGATTTGGCGACAGACTCGAGGGCCTGACGAGCAAGCTCCTCATTGTCGTCGGCTGAAATGGTGCTCTCGCGGCTCTTGCGTGCGCGCTCTTGAACCCGCTCCTGGATGGCCGGTGGCGGCGTGCCAGGAATCATCGACGAGTTGGTGTACCTATACCGAGGCTCGCTCTGGGGAACCAGGTTCACGGAGGGCAAGAGGCCAGACTGCTGCTCATGGCGCTGGGTGCGGGAGAGCGGCGTCGTTGGCAGGGCAGACAGAGACTGTGCGTTTCGAGTGTGCTTGGGGGGCATGCGGGGCGCGGGTCTGACCGCGGTTGTGGGTGTCGAGGGCGCGCTGTTGTTGTCCTGGCTAAGAGCCTGCAGCAGAGCCGCAATGGGCTCGGGGCCGTGGTCGCGGTCGACCACCCTGGCCTCACGGTTGGCTGACCGAGGCGTCTGCTGCTTGGGAGTCGCTCGGTGAGGCTGCTGCGGAGTTGAGACGGTGGCCTGCTTGGGTGTCATGGCACCATGAAAGATTCCGCCTGGGCTGCACAGCATGTGAAAGTGTTCCCGATTCTCCCGGATACGGTTTAGGAGCATGTCGCGCTCCTCTGTAAGACCGATGATCTCCTCCTCCTTGTGTGAAATGACCTTCTTGGCCATCTTGACTCGTCGAATAAGACCTTCGTTCTCGTCCGTGGCCTCTTCATACCACATCTTCATCTGGAGGTACTTCATCTGCGCCGACTCTGACGCGGCGCTGAGTTCGCGGACGGCGTGGCGGGAGTACTCTGCTGTTCTGAGAGCCTCGATCTCTCGCCTGGTCATCTCGTGCTCCACGGCTGCCCTCTTCGCGTCCTCATCGGCCTGGAGACTCAGTAAGTTGTACTGCAGCTTGTGGTGTGCGGCCTCCATCTTCAACTTGGCGTGTTCTGCGATGCTAGCCTGCATCATGGCCCGAAGTTCGTCTGCGGTGGCTTCGACGACCTGCTGGGGGGCGGGTGGCATGTATTCGGCACCGAGACCTCCATCTCGTCGTACAGTCGCGTTGTGGCCTGTGGCGGGCGGGGAGAAGAGAGCGGATCGTTGGGAGGCGCCGTATGCGGTCTGTAGGGCGCCGTTGCCCGTATGCGCGAGCAATTGTGACGAGGGCGGCGGGGTCAAGGACGAGGGAATCACGGCGGAGGAGCTCAGACGATCGTCGTTGACTTCGGTCTTGAATGATTGATTGGATTCGGCGGGCGATGCGGGAACCTCAGTCGAGGGGAGTGTTACTTGCGACGAGTTCAATGCGAGGACATCGTTGTCCTGAGGTGTTGTGGGAACGGTCGTGATATCGTTGGGCTGCTGGGCCGCAGCATCGGGGGCGGTGGCCATGATGGAAGTGGGAGCGATAGTTCGAAGCGAGCGAGCTATGCCAGAAATGCGATCGAGAAGATGCGTATGTTTGGTAATTGATTGATGCAATAAGAGCGCGGGGCAACTGTATGTACGACTCTAGTATAGTAGTGCCGGTCTGGGAGCCGGAGGGGGGTGAGTGCGGAGAGGAGGCGTCGCGTTGAGAACCACGTCAGCGGTGGAAACAAGGCAGCGTGGATTGGTTCAGAGTAGCCGGCGATGACAGAACCACAGAAAGACGATGGAGCGTTGGGTTCGATGCAGAGATATAGAGACGAGGAGGCGGGGGAGGAAAAGGAGAAAAGAGAGCAAAGGCTCCTTGGTAGTGTCTCTGTGCTCAACCGAATGCTCTTTGTCTGCCGCACGGGTTACCTGTGGATGTGTGTAGTGTAGCGTGTGTTTGTGTGGTGTGGTGGTGTATTGGCGATGGTTGGTGGGCGGTTGCTGTGGGAGCAGATGGAAACGGAACGGCGCACCCAAAGCACGAGCCAGCGGAACACCAAAGAAGAGACACAATCAGCGGACGGCCGGGGCTGGGAGGACGACGGCTCGTAGACGGGAAGACGAAGGGGGACGGGAGCTGGGCCGCGAAGGGAAAAACCAGGGAAAAAAGGAAGGCTGGCGGTGGGAGGCTGAGTCGGCGCTAGTCCCAGAAAAGGCCAAAGGTGGGCTCGGTGACCGGCGAGGTGAGCAAGGTTGGGAGCATGGGCCAGGCCAAGGTGAACGGTAAGTGATTTGATTGGTTTCTTCACCGAAGTGCTAGTCCCCCCGTCTTTGTGCTCCCAGGACTGCCCCTTTTCTGTTAATTCAATTCACAAAAGCCACCAGAGCGACCAGAGGCTGGGAACGGAAGCCGATTGCAATAGCTTCATCAACTCCAACCACCAATGCCCTAATAGAGTAAGGATGATGGTGATAATTTTGTTTTCTTCGTTTCCTCCTAGGATATCCGTTGACTCGCGACTACCTTGGGTTCCACGGGTTGATTGATCACGCCTTGAGGTAGCCCAGAATCACGTCCTTAAACTGCTCAAAGTTGTCGACAAACGGGACGTGACCCGCGTTCTTAATCACCTTGAGCTCAATTTTGTTGTCCTTACCAGCCGCCCTGAATCCTTTCTCCACGCTGTCCCGCATCCCCTGCATTGCCTGTGGCAGATTCGCGTCCTTCTCACCAACAACCAACAGTGCCTCGTCAACACCTGAACCAATCCTCTCAAACAGAGGTCGAATATCGAAGCTGTCGCTCTGCAGCGCAAAGCAACACGTCTGGAATCCCTCCACGGTAGTCTGGTTCATGATCGTGCGTGCGCGGGCCGCCTCTTCAGGGTTGGCCTTGATCCATTCGGCACCGAACCAGCGGTCCATCGTCTGGTCGACCTGGGCCTCCATGTTGCCGGCCTCGCCCGCCGCCTTGGCCCGCGGGCCGAACAAGTCCTCCACCCCGGCGTGCTTGGGCGACGAGCTGATGGTGTCGCAGATGGCCACCTTTTGGATGATGCCAGGGTACTTTGTCGCAAAGTAGAAGCTCGTCGCGGCGCCCATGGATACTCCAATCCACGCAAAGAGCTTCTCAATCTTGAGCGACTTGACCAGAGAGTGCACGTCGTCGGCTATCGTCTCGAACTCGGTGTCGAGCTTCTTTGGTGCCGACGACTTGCCGTGGCCCGGCTGGTCAAAGCGCAGCGTACGGAAGCCGTTGGCGTGGAGAACCTTGACAATATGGTCCCAGAGCGTAAAGGGCGCCGCAAGCGAGTTGGCTAACAAGACGACGGGCTTCGAGTCTGGGCCTGAGAGGTCGTATGAGAGAATACGGCCGTCAGGCAGGTTGAGTTGATGTGCAGCTGCCATTGTGAATCACACTCTTCCGGTGATGTGATGTTTGGTGATGCTCGACAATTTTACTCAACGAACTCACGTGAAGAATGAGTGTTGTAAAAGAGGCAATGGACCAAAACGTGAATCTACGGAATGAAGTGACGGACCTTCCGCGATTAATATCAGAGAGACGACAGACAACCTCAACCTTTTGTGACTTTCACGTCGTCATGTGACGGCCGCGGGGTCGGATCGGGGTGGCAGCTTTCGGGAACTGGCAATGGTGGGGTTGCCTCCTGCCCGGCACCCGATGGACAATAACGTTATCTAATCGTGATACGTACCATCACACGGGTGCCGTGGCGTGCGTGGGTCCCTACAGCCTCTCCCACACTGCTCGGTATCCAAATTGTCTCATCACAGCCAGCTCAACAATGCTCCAAACCAAAAACTGAGTTTGCCATCAACAAGAGCGAGAGCACCGGATGACGATATGTGAGAAGCAAAAATACAAAAGGTAAAGTGCGTCAAGGACAGGATTCGAACCTGCGCGACCGAAGCCACTGCCTAATCTGGAATCAAGGTTTGATAGCAGGGCAGCCCATTAACCACTCTGGCACCTTGACTAGTGACTATTGTTGGCGGTTGAAGTCCTCCAACGTGCTAAGTAGGGTCCAGCCAGAGCCTGACCGCCCTGCCCATTTGGCGCGACCGCAGCATCTAATGTCCCGTTTCGAAAGGCAGAAACTCCAATTCGTACTTGCGCGAGGATTGACTTCAGGTGTGGTCGGCGAACGCTAGCAAGGTGTTTGAGTGTTTTTCTGGAAAGGTGACGAGTAGGAGAGAAGGAAGAAACTAGATGTAAAGCAAAAAGTCAGTGAGAAAAATCTTTCAGAGCTAGCTACTTACTCACCTTACTCGGTCGCTCCCAATGGCCACTTGCTGCCCCTGGTTCGCTGCAACCTCAAGGCGTGGTGGCGGCAACAGTGCAACGAATAACCGTGCTCCATGGTGTTACTGTTACAGACCCAAATTCCGAGTTCAGTGATCAAAACACCAGAGAGAAGCACACTTCTAAAATCAATTGAGGCAATTGACGGAGATGACATTTTCTCCATGGACTATGCAGCAAGGCTGTCAATTTGTTAGATCAGTGTTACCTAGCACGGATTTAGGGAGGTGGTAATAGTGAGACATTTCAGAATCGATTCTCATGTCCCACGGCAGCAGTTTGGATTTAAACCTTGCTACGACCGTATAACTTTCTAAGAACCCGAACAGAAAAGGAAGCATCCATCAAGAGCATGCAATGAGATTATAGCTATGATGTAGTTTTGTCAGCATATGCCTCTCATCATCCCAGCCAGGGCATGGAGCAATACTCACAAGTCTCAACGTAGATGGCTGCGAAAGTCTGGTTCCATTCAACAACGTCCGACTCTTCTTCGGTCTCCCCTGCAACTGCTGGAACGCCATCCGGACATGCCTCACGTCAACCGCCTTCCTAAGACCCTCCGGTTCAGCGAATAACCCACCCAAGCCCGCCACCAAGCCCCTCTCTTCCCTAGCTACCGCCGTCCCCTTGCCGAGACAAATCGCCTCTTGCTTTTGGACCCTGAGTGCCTGCGCAGTCAAGTTCTGTACCATTTCACTCGTCAAGAACCCCAGAATGTCCATCACATCGTCATTGGGCTTGTTCTCTGCAATCACGCCCAACCCACACCACTCTCGAAACCTCTTGGCCTTGCGGTAGGTCAGCGACGCGTGACGGTACTCTGACCACGTCGCGTACTCCGCAACAGTCATATCCCTCGTCCGGTCATCATTCCTCCTCAGCTTCTCCAGCGCGGCCTCGCTGCTGGTGATGTCCACCAGATCCTCCTGGCTCGCCTCAGTGACTTGCTCGGAAAAATAGGATGCCACGTCCCATGGGAGTGTGACGGTAGGTAGCCTGGCCTTGCCGCCGGCAGGTGCGTCGTCTGTAGGAGCGGCGACGTTTTCTTCCATGTCGGCTTCGTCGACGAAGCCTTCTTTTTCGTCAGAGTCTTTGACGGTTCTGCGGATGGCTTTCCAGGTAAGGAAGATGCGGAGACGTTCGACGCGGGCTTTGTCGTGGCGGACTTGGAATATTAGGTCGTTATTGGAGAAGACGCGGGAGCCGCGGCGGGCGGCGAGGTCGCTGGCTGTTTTCAGCTAGGAGACTTTGATGAGCATGCACCTTGTATCTTGCGGTGGTGGACGAGTGTGAGCTATGGGTGCGTAGGAGAATTACCAGGTGGATGACTTGTTCTCGGATGATGTCCTCAATGAGCTTGGTGGTCTGTACTGAGACATCTTGTGGTTCCCCTGCAATGTACATCATCTGGTTGGCATCATGTCAGAAATGGCTTCGGCCTTTGATATGAGGCATAGGATGCGAAACCATGGTCGTACAGAAAAGGGGGAAGGGGCGGCTCATCAAGATTCAATACAGGCTGATGCCAACCGAGGAACTTCTAAAGGCGTGGTGATATGTGTTCTGGGAATCCTTACGATTTGAAATGGCTTACCTGTTGGATCTCTTGTTTAAATTTGGGCTCCATAGCCATAACAGGAGCCGCGTATCTTGGACGAAGACGAGGGAATTGGGTGTAAGGCAAGACAGTTAGTTGTGTGGCCAGAGAAGAACCAGAACGGTATCAAAAGAGTAAGGAACAAACAACGAGGGAACTCTTGCTTCGAGTTCCCAAAAGCGAATAGTCTGAGAAAACAAGCATGGCAAACATGTCGGTAGAAGAATCCATCTTGGCTATTTTATACAAGCGTGTAAGACGCTGTGGGTGCGCGCTATTTATTTGACACTGTGTCCGCGTGTGCCGCTGGGCATTTGGTGGTGATGAGCGAGTTGGAGAGGGAAACTGGGGATGAAAAAGCGCGGGAGTAGCTCTACTTCGATCATTTCTGCTGGTACAAGGCCGTGCTGCTGGGATCAAGTCCCCTTACCCATGAATCATGATATCTGACTGGATCACTCTGACTACCCGTCTCCACACGGTTTTGCCGACACAGTGTATGGAGTGCGTGTTAATGCCCTCCCTGCCCTATCTTCGTCTGTTAAAATACGAACATCAAATTGTTTTTCAGAATATAGAAGTTCATTTCAAGAATACTGGCTGGATCTTTCACTTTCCTCGAGAATAGTTGTCAAGTCAACTACAGATTATGCAACAATAGGTATCATCATCTCTCATGACAACTAACTACCCCATCAAGGTTTCGTATCCCTTCTCCATCATGACATCCATCCAATACACATCCTGCTGCTTCTCATCCATACAAGTCCACGTCTCTTTCGCAAGAATGATCATCTGCCGTATTGGCTTGGCTGCCAGGATACCCTCAAAAGATGCAAGACGTGAGAGGACCAGCCGTCTAGCGTGCAATATATCGGTCGTGGTTGATACTACTTTTAACCTGGGACTAGAAGCAATGCTTGCCACAGCTGTGTCTACCACAGAATCCAAAGAAGCAAAGCCACGATTCATAGAAAGCTCGCTGCAGATGCTTACTAAAAGCAGTGGCTGGATGGATCGAGACCGCGACGTGATTGGGATATCCTGCAAGAGATCGAGGATGTGTAGGGCAAGACAAGTCAGCCACGTTCCATGGACAGTTTCCGAATCGTCGGAAAGGCTGGGATCCGTGTCTCCTGGTATATCCAGCCATGCAGACGGACTGGCTGACGCCACATCTTGTAAGAGTAGATCAGGAAAATTGCGATAGAGCTGCAATAGTCCAGTGCACCTGTATGCCTCTGCAGCTTTCAAGAGATGGTCAGTTGGCGTCATGTCATCGCCTGAGTCCATGACTGTAACCTCTCTTGGAAGTTCAATCTTGCAAAGCCGCGAGTGAAGCTGCTCCGCCGTCTGAATGGCGGCAACTGATTGCTCAATGTCGTGCCTCGACGAGCGCTGGCGGCTCCGTATCCGTTTTCGCTCTTTCCTAACCAGGGCCCCAACCTGGCCTACAATCTCTAATACCTCTACTCCAATTCCCGTCTGCGGATGTGGCATCCTCGCGTCATTGCGACTCGGAAAGCGAGGTGGTTGTGGCTGAATGGCTCCAGTGGACGTCGGTGAAGCCAACTCCTGGTCGGTCACGAAGGAAAGCAGCATCCTCCAGTAAACAAGAGAGTTATAGAAGAAGAAGCGCTTTTGCTTGTCCGCCATTGCCAAGTTGCTTTCTTGGGCTTCAAGATGGAGTAGAGTCTCGGCCAGTAACTCAAACTCGGATTGGCCCAGTTTGCTCGGATCATGCCAACAGAGACTGAAGCCTAGCATGACCAGCGCCAATAGTGATGATGTATCCGTCGGACCTGCTTTGCTTTCTTTCCATAGAGCATTGACAGCCTGATCTCGAAGCCGGCCACTCGCTGTCGAAAGACCAGGCGAGACCTCGGCCAAGCAGGCTGCTGCCATGCTTTGCGTGACGTAGTATAGAGACGGCGAGTTGCCCCAGAGATTGGAAATGGTCGTTCTGTATGGATTCAAGTTGCTGTCGTAGCAAGACATCATTCCGCAAACTTCTTTGAAGTAGTACTCCACTAGCACTGATGTATTGTCTTGTAAGGAGGGCGATAGTGGAGATTCGTAGCGAGCTACTCGCGAGGGAACCGGGTTGTTTCGCTTCTCAATAGCGAAGAGACCATTGCCCGGACTGTTGGGGGTGATATTCGGCCACAAGTCATCGGTTGCGAGTTCTGGCAACCAGGTAGAACATGATGTCTCAAGAATCGTAAAAGGAGTTGGCGGCTCAGCCGGCAAGTCCGAGAAAGGAAATGCATGCTCTAGATGGTTGCCATCTTGGAAGTCTATGCTTGCCGGTGTGTTGATATTTGCAAACTGACTGAACAACCCCACGTCACAGAGATTCTTGCCAGATGAATCGAAGGACTGTAGAGATCGACATTGGTCTTTAGTCCTTTGCTGCCGGCTTTCTGGTTCGCTATTTGTAGGAGTCGTGATATCGATCCTAGGTGATCTTGAGGTTGGCGACCATCTGAGAGGCTTTTGGTAGCCGGGGCAAGGTATCCCGAGCCTCTTACATCTTGAGCAATTTGGCTTCAGTTCGTCGCATTTCAACTGACAGAAAGCATATTAGGACTTAACAAGATGAAGGGTAAACAACGCTGGTGATTGGTCTCATACTCGTTTAGATTTGCATACTGCGCATCCATTGCGGGATCTGGTGATCGTTTTTTGAGACGTTGACAGCATCTAGTCATACTAAGATAATCACAATCTATGATAAATGACATAGCAGCACAATTCAGTGAAGCACTCGTTCAAACTTGTGATTCCTGAGTGTGAAGCTTTCCAAGTGCTTAAGCAACGATTGTCTCGGTGGATGAATGAACTGACTCGCGTCCGGATGCGGGGAGCTTATCAGCAGCGGAGCGCTCGGGGGATTGCATGACCCAGCGAAGATGAGCGCATGCTCGCCCCCATCCGCTAAGCCGAATCCGGTTCCTCAACGCGAAGGAAAATGATGCTGGAATGGGGAATGATTGATGAGGAGACGATGAAGCTCAGTCTCGTTCTTCTCTTATTCAAAGTTTGTTTGATAAAACTTACTGGAAGCACTAAGCCACGCTCAAGCTGTATCAAATCCCAGCGCTATCAGTTCTGATCTTATAATCTCTCAACATGGCGGCCGTCTCAGGAAATCAGTCTTTCAAGGTCGCACTGCTACAAATCAGTCCAAAGGTGAGCCCACTATCGACGTCACTCTAGCACGAACCATCGCCAACTCTCACCTTTTCGCAGGTTCTGGATGCCGAGCACAACTTTGCCCATGCTTCGAAACAGATTCGGCTTGCTGCAACTCAAGGAGCATCGCTTGCCGTTCTACCAGAATATCATATGACAGGATGGGTGCCGGACGAACCCTCATTCGCACTTAGCTATGAGGAAGCTCAAAGTTTCCAACGCCGATATCAGCAACTCGCAGCCCAAGTGCACATCAACATCTGTGCCGGCACAATCGTCTACCGCGCACCAGATGACCAGCAGAAAAATTCCAAGCCAACTCTTCTCAACACCTCTTACTTTATCGACCATGATGGACACCTTTTGGGCGCCTACACCAAGACCAACCTCTGGATTCCTGAACGCAATCACCTGACTTCAAGCATCGACTATGCGCACAAGATGCAAGTCGACGAAGGCACGCCTAAACCTCATCAGGTCTTCGATACGCCGTTGGGTCCCGTGGGAATACTGGTGTGCTGGGATCTGGCCTTCCCAGAAGCGTTCCGTCAGCTCATTCTCGCAGGAGCAAAGATCATCATCATGCCCTCGTTTTGGACCTTGTCCGATATGAGCAAGGAGGGTCTTGAGTATAATGCAACGTGCGAGAAGATGTTTGTGGAGTCTACGCTTACTACGAGGGCATTCGAAAACACTGCTGCCATCATCTACTGCAATGCAGGAGGACCTTCGGAGCAGGGCTTTTTTGGTTGCAGCCAAGTTGCACTACCCATCGTCGGCAAGGTTCCAGGGAGTTTTACAGACGGTGAGGATGGCATGCGGGTAGTGGACGTGGATATGCGAGTTGTTGAGATCGCTGAGCGGAATTATCAGATCAGACAGGATTTGGGACGCGTCGATTGGCATTATGGTTATGTGAAGGGGGCCAAGTTGTAGTTTAATGAAAGAAAACGCTACCTATACCTGACTCCATGATATCATCCATGGTCTAGTTCAGATGCGCTGAATGTCAGCACTTGCAAGTCTAGATTCTTGTTTGTACCTTATCATCAGTTTTATCCGATGCGGATGATGCCTCAAATAATCTCAAGTTGATCTTCCAGGACAGTTGGGTTATAGGGTACGACCAAATCGAAACCAATAGGCCATCGAAATAGTTTTTTCTACGCGGGTTGTGTGTAGAAGGGAACACATTGAGACGCGTTCCTGGCGGGGGAAACGGTCCTCGCTGACTCTGTCTACCTAAATACGGAGTAATTGGACTAATGGCAAAATTTATTTCTATTCGACTGAGAACTATGTCAAAGTTCACAACTTATTAAGTGGTGAGACGGCTATTCCTTTTGCAGAGTCTTGATCTTCGATAGGGTTTACTGTCGGCAACTCCTCCCCGAGGATCAGCTCAAATCTGGGACCATTGTACGTTTTTCTCTTGATCACCCAGAGTGTAACCGCGTAGACGATGAAAACCCCGATGAGGGCAGTTACGTAGTCTGCGGCATGTTAGATGCATGGGCATGGTACTAGTAGGTGGAGACTTACTCATGGTCGAAAGGTCAATGGGGATTGCTGGTGGGAAGCAAAAGAACTGTTGCAGTCTGCGTCAGCAACCTCTCATCATCTGAATGCATCTTTGTACTTACGACAGATGTTACAACTACAAAGAGAACCGATGTCCAATTTGTGAGATAGCCCATGAAGCCTCCACCCAAGGAGAAAACAGGTGGGTTATTTGTAACTAGCCTGCGCCCCCTGATCAGCAGAATCATGACGGGCATTGCGTAGGAAAGATTCAAGAACAATGTGCAGCTTGCGATGTACGCATTGAACGCCACTTCAGGACCTAGACGACGTCAGACATCGAGTCTCATGCGCGGATGATGAGACTTACCAAGGTAAAGAAGACCGAAAAGGATGTTGAAGATGGCTTGCACAACGATTGCGCGTACAGGAACATTCAGCTTGGGGTGAAGATGTGAGAGACTGCGCAAGGGCAAGGTTAACAACAGAGTTTTATGTGGTGGTGAGGTCAACGTGTGCTTACTATTTCGAAAATGGAGTTCCATTGTCTCGAGCCATAGACCAGACCAGGCGACTGCCCGACGTAACGCACCCGTTGGCGCCATTGACGAAACACAGGGCAACTGCGACGCTCAAAACAGTCGCGGCTGCTTTGCTCTTTGTAGCTTGTAATATCATCTCTGTCAGAGGACTTTGGGTGGGCGAGGAGAGTAGTACATCGATATCAACGGCACAGAAGAGCATCACGAGGATGAACGCAATTCCCCTACATCAACTGTCAGAATAACGAGACTGTATTCGTGAGTTTGTCTGTACTTACGTCGTACCACCAACAATCACAGCACCGACCATGGCTTGGGGGGCATCTTTGGATGGGCTAGGCATCTCCTCAACCATGTGCGCGACAGCATCAAACCTGCAGCAATGTTAGCCTCGCTGCTGTAATGCAACAGTGAGATCCAGGACAAACCCAATCAGGCTGAGGGCAGACTGAAGAAGTCCAAGCATCCAAGCGGTACCATCGCTCCATCCGGTTGTATTAGAGAAATTCGTGAAGACAAACTCGGCGTCTGTCTTTGGGGAGGTTGCAAGAAGCACGATGCTGATCACGACGACACTGAGCAAGGACCAGTACACTTGAAAAGATTAGCAATCCGTCAGATGTACTTAGTCTCTAGTCATTGATTACTTACGCGCTCCTTCATTCCAGCGGTTGAGGATTGGGTACGCAAAAATGTTCAAGAAGACCCCAATGATGGACACAGCAACGAACATCAGGTATGTGCTCCATTGTGTGATCTCGTAGGAACCGCCAGAAGCTGCGACAGCTGCTGCGGCCAGGAATCGAGCTGTAGCTGGAGTGAGCAAAGCCATTCATATGGTTGATGATAATCAATTCGTACCTCCAAAATACGCAGCTGTAGTATTCAGTGTTAGCCAGCCAGCGATGTTGACCCATCCAACGAAGAAGCTCTGGTGCATGTTAGCATCTGATTTGCAGCTGGGCTGCGAGGAAGAGGGTTTACCGTCAGCTTCCTCCACTTCTTCGTCGAAAGTGCATAAGCGTAGTGATACTGTCCACCAGCTGTTGGATAGAGTGATGCAAGCTCTCCAACGCTGGCACTGAGAGCGATGTTGCAAATGACACAGAAGATGAAGCCGTACACAAATGACACTGACCCACCCGAGGGCATCACCAGCCCAATGGACCCAGCTAGAGAAATCCAAGTACTTTGAGAGTTAGTAACAGGATTGAAAAGTGTAGGACGACAAGTTCATGACTAACTTGAGGATAGCAAAGGCCATGCCAATCATGGTGATTTTGGAGAACCGCTTCTGCAGGTGGCCATGTTGGCCATCCGCTGGTGGTGTGGCCATGGTGACAGCAGAGTTTCAATCTAGTGAACTGGAGGTAAAAACAAGGGCGTGCGCAAAAGAAGGTGATACTCTCATGTCCTCTTATGGTCGTTGAAGGCTGTTTCACTTGTACATCTCAGTGTCGCACCGATGATAACAATGCAGGTGATAAGAAGAGACGTCTTTACGCTTAATAACATGCCAACAAACAGCAACAGGATTATCCTCTCGGGTAGCTGCGAAGCTGCGAGTAATGACGGTGGTCTACCAACACGCTATCCCCGAAGTGGTAGTCTTAAGCAAAGGAAAAGATGAACCCCACGGCCGGCTGTGGATCGGAGACGCAGCTGTGGAGGTCTATCAGCCGATCACCCCGCATACGATGATAACGGTTACGGACCCAAGTTGTGTTAATGCCGGCACCTGTTTCCGCTGCGAACTGTCGACTTGGCTATCGAAGAATGGTGTTATTCCCTGAGCACACCCTTTCTCTGACTTCGTGCCTCTCGTTTGATAAATCTTCATTACGATCCCTAGATGTGAGACACATTGTTAACTAAGGTAGGCAGAGTTGCTGCTCTCCATGACTTGGTAGGCTGTTCGGTAGGCTGTCCGGTAGGCTGTTCTACTGTCCGGGCTCTTAAGTCAAGTGCGTGCATAGAGCGATTGGTACCTGGTCACGCCGGTCAAGTTTGGTCGATCGCACGGCGCCCCATCGGCCTTGGACAACGGCCGCTCTTCAATTTAACGAAACAGACTCGAATCAATTCAATGCCATAGTCCGCTCAATTTTGTCTTGATTCAGAGCAATTTCTTATACACCTCGTTGCATTCGATCTCCTGAACCCATAAGTTCCACGGTCGCATTAATGACCACTGTGTCGTCTTGTCAGAAGCCATGCACTCTTCGTGACTTAGAGTCCTCACGCCGCCAGCGATTCCAGTGACACCTTGAAGCATTAAAGCCGTAGTTTGTATACTTGCGTTCTTCTGCGTATACACTGCCCGCATCACAGCCAGCTCGATGGCCTCGGCGACGACCGTAAAACCATGTCCGCGCATCAACGCCACATTATTACCATCATCAAAGTGCTTTGCCAAGTGGGCGCCCATGTTCTCGCTGCGTACAAGTAGGTCATGAACGTCGCCGTCCTCCATGTGGTCTGCAGTATCAAACACCGGCAAGCCTTTGGCGCCTAAGAATCCGCACATGTGGCTGACAGCTCTGAGCGGAACACCGGATATCGTGTAGGGTACCACAGCCTCGGAGTGACTATGGACCACCGCGTTGATCTTTGGGTGCCGCTTGTAAATTTCCGAGTGGATTCGCCGCTCCGCAAAGCCCGGAGGCGACTCCGCGTCGTGGGGCTCAGCATCGCCGACCCTATAAGCGACAAGATCTCCGATGTCTGACACTTGGGCTGGAGCAACGTTGCGAGACATGACGAATATGTCAGGGTCTAGAGGATAGCGGAAAGATAGGTGACCGTAGGCATCGACGACTTGATGGAGGTGAAGAATGTGAGAGCCATCGATCAGTTTACTGAACAGCTTTCGTAGGTCATCGGTGTGAGGGAGAGAAGCCATTCCAGCGAGATGTATGGTTTTGCCAACGATTGCACAAGAACGTAACAGGTTGTGCAGCGTTATCTTGATTTCTTGATGGCCGCTGGACTTGAGAAAGGTCGGAAATGTCGCGAGTGCCGGGTGCTCAGACAGAAGCAGCTGATCGACGGGCCGATGACGGGATTCCAAATCTGGCGGGGTACGAGCACCAACTCGATGCGGGGTCATCGAGGGGGTTAGTTTCTTGGGCCTTTTTCGGTCTAAGCACAGAGGATCTTGATGTTATTTATTTCTTAATTACGTGAATCTGCTGGGCTGATTTCAGCTGCAATAGTTGACTTGATGAAACTGATTTTTCCTTCCTTTTCAGTCTCACGATGTTTCTGCTGACCTTTTGGTAACTAGACCTAGCTCAACAAAAAGACGTTCTAAGCCCTCTGCCTTGCAAGGTTTCTGAATCGAGGCATCAAACCCAAGACTGCGTGTCCTCTCCATGTCTACCGCCATCGGTATGCCAGCAGCCATCACTACAATGTAGCATGGTTTCAGACTGTTTTCGGTTTCGAATGCGCGAATGAGTCTTGTGGCATGCAAACCATCTATGACGGGCATGGAGGGCTGCATCAAGATGCACTGATATGTCTGGTGCCCTTTCTTGTATGCTTCGAAAGCTTCCTGGCCGTTGCATGCGAACTCGTACACGCAATTGTGACTTAATTTGTCTATCTGCCTGCCGATGACCTTTCTCATCACTTGATTGTGCTCGGCTACAAGGATGTTGATTGATGGCATGCCTGTTGCTGCCGCTGTGATGGGAACGCTATATATCTGAGCTGAGCTTGAGAGATCCGATTGCTCTGTGCCCAAGTCTTCTAGTGGAGGTGTTCCATTCTTTGGCAGGGATTCTTCGCTGAGGGACGCCATGTCGGCAAAGCAGTTACCTGAATGACTTGCAGCAACTGTCTTCGGTAGTAAGCGAAATGGTGAGAATGGGTAGGTTGGGAAGTGTCGCAATCGATTTCCTATATCAGGAAAACGTTGACGGAGCAAAAAGTCACTACTTAACTCTTCTCAAGACTAGATTATGTGCGGTGAGAAGCCTGCTGCCTGCTTGGCTTCTCGCCTCTCGCTTACTTGAGGCGCAGTATTTCCAGTCTACTGATGTGGATGCAGGTTCACAAGAGCCCTTACAATGAAGTTTACGTCCTGGTTAGCTATCATGATACGGTTCCAAGCAACGATCATGGCCATCGTATGCTCACAGGCCCATATTACTGGGAAATGTCAAGACGGGGTTTCTCAACTTGAGCCAGGCGCGCCCGAAGCCGACTCCGTCAAGGGCGTGGAACCACACATTTATGGGGCCGTCTTACGGGATCGGGTTGAAAATCGCGGCAAGGGCCCCGGAACCAACAAGCCCTGGCACCAAGAAATGACGAGGTTTGTTGCCGGCTTCGAACTCAAGTCATCTCTCACGGACTCTCCGCGCGGACTTCGGGGTTCGGCTATTCCGTCCTTCCTCGTTCTCGCAACGTTCCAGAAGCTCTATCCTTGAAGCTCAGACTCGTGTTGAGATGCGTCTCCCAATGAGACCGTCGTAAACACGAGACACGTCCAAACTTTGTTCTCCTTACCTGGCCTTTTGTCAAGGCAGTGTGCCGGGCCTCTGTCTGCTCTCTCTCAGTTGAGTGGAATGCGAATGGCTGGGCGCCTCGAACAAATGAACTCTGCCAAATTCAAACCCCCGAAGCCACTTCCCCGCGTCCCTCTTCTCCAATAATACTGGGTTTCCGCTAGGGTACCTTACAGCGTAGTTCAATGACGCCCAGTTCTGGGGTAACGCACTTGGTGGGACTACGTGACACCCCTAGATCCATTTTCGCTTCGCCTCGCATGAAAAGCATCTGCCGGCTGTTCGTTTCGGGATCTGGTGGGACAAGGGAAGGGTAAAGACTGGGGGAAGCTTGGAGCTCGGGTGCTCGGTCAAGCAGCAGTAGTGAAGCACGGCAGATCGGTAAAAATCCCAAACGACAAACCCCCAAAACTGCTTCTCCAAAGGCACCTTTTGCGTTTATTTTTGAAGTCCGACTCCGTGACCTCGGTAAGCTGGCCAGCACCTTGGTATTTGGGTAGCCCCACGTTCCCCAAGGATCCAGCTCCATATCTCGGGCCTGACGACGGCATAGGTTCATTGTTGAAACCCCAACCTTCTCAAGAAGTTATCTGCGCAGCTTTTCACGTAGATATCGTCATTGTATCGCAAAAGCCTCGCCACATATCAGTGATCATCGGGAATTGGAATCGCTGTGCCAAGCTGCAGCTACTGGAGTTCGATTGAGGGTAGAGCTAAGAACGTTCGGACAGTCTCCAAAATTAAGGCGAAGAAACGGGAACCATGGCACTAGGTAAGATTACCTTAATCGCGACCACTGAACACCGCCATAACCATGAACGCGCGCTCACTCGATAGCAGTCACTGCCGCAGCGCTGGCTGGCAGCATGGCCTCCAGCATGTACGTAGATGCCAAATACCACATCTCCAAGGACTTCAAGGCCATTAGAGGTCGACGAACGATGACAAAATTTGTTGAAAACTCGAGTAAGAAAAGCCGGAGCCTGTTCGAAACTTGTACGATAGACTGACCAATGATTCAGTCAAGAACAGCCGTGTTTCTCCCTATTACTTCTTCGAAGAAGCGGTCCAGAAGCATCCGTACGATGAAGCCATCTGGACGCGAAGCGGCAGCGTGTCGTGGAAGTTGACCTACGACCGAGCGAACCAGTATGCACAGATGTTCTTGTCGCAAGGGGTCAGGCCTGGGGACTTCGTTGCGATTCTCATGCAAAACTCGCCCGACTTTGCGTTCGCCTGGGTTGGACTACTTGCCATTGGCGCGGCGCCCGCCATGATTAACTACAACCTTGTGGGCAAAGCCCTTCTCGGCTGCATCGAAATCAGCACCGCCAAGCTCGTAGTGGTGGACGGAAGCCCTGAGATTGCCGCCAAGTACAACGACGTTCAGACCGAGTTGGACCTCAAAGGCGTCAAAGTCGTCAACATTGGGGAGGAGAGGGAAAGAATATACCAGATGGATCCCATTCGACCGAGAGACGAGCTCAGGAAGAAATTGACGCCAGCTGATGCAATGGCCATGTTCTACACAAGGTAAGCTCATCGAAGTCGGGTCTTGACTTATCTGACAACTGCAGTGGGACTACCGGCCTACCAAAGGCTGTCGTCATGCCTGCCGCTGCTGCAGGTAGCCTTGCATTGTCCGTGAGTAGATGATCCGCTTTCTGCCTTCCTCCGGCTTTCTAATCATGTCCAGAATGACCTTGGCTTGCATCCGACAAACGGCGGCAATGAGAGATGCTACATTTGCATGGTAAGTGGATGCGCCTATGCTGTGATAATCACACTCTCTAACTAGATGAGTATAGCCGTACTATCACGGGACTGGTGGTATTACCATGATATCCCAGATTTTGGTGAGAAATTCCCATTATGCGCTACTCCACCAGCGAGTCCTGGTTTAACACGATATAGTCCGGTTCCACAGTCTGCATGGCGCCCAAGTTCAGTGTCTCGAACTTCTGGCAAGATGTCCGTGACTCCCACGCGACTTGGTTCGTCTACGTTGGAGAGACTCTTCGATACCTCTTGGCCTCGCCGCCCTCGCCGCGCGACAAAGACCACAATATCCATGCCGTCTTCGGCAACGGATGCCGACCCGATGTATGGAAACGCTTCCAGGAGAGGTTCGGCATCGACACGATCTGCGAATTCTACAACAGCACCGAGGGCGCATTGGGGCTTCGAAACCTCTCTCGGGGAGACTTCTTTGCGAATGCTCTTGGTCACCACGGGCTTCTGCTCCGACTCAAGTACAGAAACATGGTGGTACCTGTAGAGATTGATGCGGAGACCGGTAACATCAAGCGAGATCCAAAGACTGGACTCGCCTTGCGCGCATCATATGAGGTCGGTGGAGAGATCCTGGTTGAGCATCCAGGAGAACGAGCATTCCCGGGGTACTTCAACAATGAGGACGCCACCAACAAGAAGTTTGTCCGCGATATCCTGAAGAAGGGAGATTGCTTCTATCGGACTGGAGACTCATTACGGCGCGATACTGAAGGCAGATGGTTCTTCCTTGACCGGTAAGTGTCAGAAATATCGCACTCCCGGCTGCACCTACTAACACAAATCCAGTCTAGGTGACACGTATCGCTGGAAAGGAGAGAACGTCTCGACTGCGGAAGTCTCAGAGGTCCTTGGCAGCTATCCGGGCGTCAACGAGGCAGTCGTCTACGGCGTCCAGCTTCCCGGCCATGATGGTAAAGCTGGCGCGGCAGCCCTCGACATCGCTGCGGATCAGAAGGGGTCGTTTAACTATACCGACTTCCTCAGGTGAATAGACTCGGCCTCAAGGTTTCGCAGGCATCAAGACTGACTTGTTAACAGTTTCGCCCGATCAAAGCTGCCAAGATACGCTGTGCCAGTCTTCATCCGACTCTTGAATGAGGGAACGGCGACGCACAACAATAAGCAGAACAAGGTGCCGCTGAAAAATGAGGGCGTTGATCCAAGCAAGATCCAAGGGGGTGATCAACTGTTGTGGATCGAGAAGCACGGGAAAGGCAACACATATGTCCCATTCACTCAGGATGACTGGAACAACCTCGGTATGGGCAAGGCTAAGCTGTAATTGTTCTAGAGAGGCACATCGTGTAGATAAACGGTGTGATGAGGAGTCACACGAATGCTCAAAATGTCTGAAAAGTAACCCCATGTTACCTTACTAAAGATTCTTGTCGATCTCGGGGAACTTACCAAAACCGACCACTTTATGCGACAAGGCAAGTCCCGTCTATCTATCGCACGGTAGGATGTGACGAACCCCGCACGACGCAATCACGCAGCAAGGTCCTGGTGCGCGGGGGAACACCCCTGCTCGGTTCACATGGAGATCAGCACGAAATGGGATGGCTGGGACCGAGGCCGGCAAAAGACAAACAAGATGAGGTGAACCATGGGAATCCCTTGATCTGGATGTCGCGTCCAGAGGTTCCAGTTGATATGAGCAGCGTATCCCTAGAGATGACCGTTTCTTTGGTCCACTATTCCTCTCAAGTCTGAAGTCCGTGGTTCATCGTCAATATGGCCGGCATCAAGAGAACACGCATCATTTTTGCGCTGGTCATCACTGTCATTCTGATTCTACTGTTCAAGAAGGGCGACGCGAATCCCCAAACATCACAATGGACACCCAATTCACCACCAGAGCAGCCACTGGGCGGCTCGCCCATCACTCTCGACATCCCTCCAGATCACATCGAGGTACCCATCATCGACAACAATCTCGAGTTCCAGCCGCCGCCAATCGAGTCGCACGTCCTCCCCGACGCACATAAGCTCGCAACAGCCGACGACTTCATCCCCCACTTTGCTGCCGTGACTAGTATCAAGGGCATCTCCCAGCGGGAAGCCCGCGCATCATGTACCTGGCCAGCGGACATGTATGTCGATTTTCAATTCTCCGACTCTCTGCCGTGGGTTATTGAAGAACGGCCGGTGCTTGAAATTGAGCTGCGCAGACGCGAGTGGCATGATTTCGTCAAAAGCGGCATGATCCCATACGCACGCGTCAAGGATCGTTTTTCCGGGCGAGGGCTGGTCATAGTCGCAGGCAACGCCGACACGGTGATGCGCGTCAAAGTGATCTTGCGGCAGCTGAAGAGGCTTGGGTCGACAATCGCCATTGAGATTCACTACTGGGACACCGAGATGAACATGGGCGCTATGGCATATCTCAATGCCCTCTATGAGCCAATATACTACAACGACTTATCCAAGGATCATAATATCGTGCATATCAAGAAGGATGGGATCTTTGGGATCAACTATCAGCTGAAGACTGCCGCACTGCTCAACTCGCGTTGGGCTGAGCCTCTGCTGCTAGACTCCGACAACATTCCCATGATCGACCCGTCAACTCTCTACGACTCGATTCAGTACACAGAATACCACTCCGTATTCTGGCCCGACATCGCTCGCACGCGCCCTCAAAACCCCGCCTGGGCCATTTTCAATACGCCATGCCGAATGGCCGAGCACGAGCAGGAGAGCGGACAACTTCTGGTCAACAAACAGCGCTTCTGGTACCATCTCCAACTTGCCTCTTGGCTCAACAACGAGCAGGGGAAATACTACAACGAGATCCTGCTGGGCGACAAGGACATGTTCCGCTTCGCGTGGCACGCTCTGCGGACAATGTTTGGAAAGCCCAAGAAATGGGTCACGAGTGTCGGAACGGAGAATGATGGGTTCTACTGCGGGCATTCGTTCGCGCAGCACCACCCAGACGATGGCCGCGTCGCCTTCCTCCATGGAGGGCTTGTCAAGACTGCATCTCTCGAAGTCATGAGGTGGAATCGGGACATTAAGGGCGGATATCTACGGCATTACAAGAGGGCGCTGAGCGAAGAGAGTCCCGAGGTGAATGTCAACGTCGCCATCAAATTCGATGGCGCTACATACATGCCTCAGCATTCTGAAAAGTTTGTAGCCGCTCAATGCACCGATATGTTTGATGTCCAGGCTAGAGACTTGAACGAGATTCTACCTGGGGTCGAGCAGACGTTCCGCGAAATCGGTGGGTACTGGCAGCTGGACCAAGAAGATGCGACCAAGCTGGGGCAGTTTGGATCTTTACCTGCCAGCTGAAGTCCGAGACGTTACGGCTTGCCAGACAGAACAAACAGAACCACGAGGAAACTAGACTTGTGTGCTGCCCCTGACGATCCTCGACGGGCCGATGGCTCCCAACCTAGCGCCAGGCGCCAGCAAGGAGAGGGGGGTCAAAGACACCGAAAAAAGGACAAAGAAGGTTTAGTGCCGTTGCCGCCGTCTTCTCGGGTTCAGAAACGTTCTCTTGCAGGAACACTTAAAGACCAACACGAGGAAGCAGGATGCCGCTCGGTCAGCTCGCCCAGACCGAGGTCCAGAGTAAGGCTCGAAGGCTTCGAGCTTATTCTATCAGCTTGTGTCTGACCAGTCGAAGCCGGCCCGATGTCAGCAGCCCTCCTCGGACGAGGCGTGTCAGTGTCATGCGGGAACGAGGGCATTTCGATTGTCAGAAAAGCTTGGCATGACAAGTCAAGAGAGCGAGGAAATTGCAAGGCTGAATAAAGAAGAGGGTGTTGAGTGATTCGGTCTTCACTACAGAAAGGCACGATACTGATGTCAGAACATGAGGAATTGCTTGCGCGTCCAATCTGCCAGGCGGCGACTTGCACTCCCACTTCACGTCGATGCGTGTCCATACGTTCACGAGACACGACCAATCTAGCAGGGGGGAAACGTAAAGGAAATCCCTGTACCAAAAGATCCTCTACTATTACGAGTTAGAAATAGCATCTCAATTATTGGACGATCCAGCTGGTTGGCGCGCCATCCGAGCGTTGAAAGTTTCTTAGACAGCATCGGACGACAAGAAACGTCCATCCACCTCACGAGTCACATAGGAAAACAAGCTCAACGGTGGTCGTGTTCAGAGTATTAGGGTCTTCTGTGCCATCCCACCTGATGTTTCAGGGGAACTTAGCAGCCAAGCCGTGCCGTCGCACGCTAGAAGCAGCATTGGATTAGCGTCGGGATTGTGCAGGATACGGGATGCAACGCTAAAGCAACTCTCTCCTTTGTGGGATTGCGACTCGCTTCATTACCCCTGAACAACAGTAACTCTGCTCTAACTCGGTCAAAGTAAGTTACTCGAAGGGGAAAAGTGGTCTCACCCGTAGATCGGATCTGGATTAGAGCCAGTACGAAGATGGGAGCTAAGAAATGTTATGCGTCTGAACCCGCGTTCTGTTCCTGGCACATCTCTCAAGGTCGGATGATGGGTGCATCGATACGAAGCACGGCGACAGACATTGGCAGACTGCCAGACATGGTGCAAGTGAGTCCATGTCCGCACGTAATTCAAGATGAACAACTCTTACTGACTATTGACGTTCGTTTGCAGCAAACCTCGACAGTAATACTAATACCCCAGATAATAGAGCAAGGGAAACAATGCCTAGCAAGTGGTATCTCGACGTGGTATTAGTCGGCACACAGACCTCTTTGTTTCCTCCTGGTCAACGCCTCGCTCACCGCTGTAGCAACCACCGTCTTGCCCCGGTCTGGCTATCCAATCACCATCAACACGATTCTCGTCCGACTCTTCAAGGCTTCGTGGAGGCGGAGCAAAAGTGCACAAGGTAGCGCTTGGACTGAAGCAACTCCTACTCGGTTGACACGGCCCAATACGAGGCTACCAACGACTGACAGCAGATGAGAAGGAGGAAAAGCAAGTCTTCACTACAACGTCGACGGCGCCGAGACGCCCCGGAACTAACCAACGCGACTGGAGACTCCTCATCTCCACAGTCAGCGTTCAAGCTGTACGATGGCTTCTTTTGCCAAGAATAGATTCGCAGGGAAGAGAGCACGGCCTCCCGGGCTTGGAAGCTATCGATGAGGATATAATGAACCCATGATGCCCAGTCTCTAGCACTTGGCTCATCAGGATACGCCTCATCATCTCCTTCGTCTCTAACATTCTTTCTCGATTCTATAGAATCATCCTTTCGTTCTACCACTTCGGCATACAGTAATACACTCTGCCTAGACCACTCTCTATCAACTTCTTTTCTTCCAGATACACAACTATTTCGAACTCATCATGCGTGTGTCAACTTTCCTCACCACCGCCCTCGCGGCCACACCCATCGTTGCCTACCCCGGCATGAAGAATACATTTGCCGAGATCCGCTCCCGCGCCGATGTAGACGGTAACGGCGCCGACGACGGTGACTCCAACGAGCTCATTGGCGACCTTATCACCCTCGACGACTCCAAGCTCACCGCCGTCGGCAGCAGCGTCAAAAAGCTCCTCACCGGTTTCGATAAGCCCGAGAGCGACGACGCCTACCCAACCGTCGGAAGATCTGGCACTCTCGCACCAAAAGGCTCCGCAGCTTGCGCTGCTGACACCTGCTGCATCTGGAAGTATATCGCCAACGATCTTCAGGGTACCTTCAGAGGCCGGTCCGGCCGTTGCACCGACTTCGCCCGTGCTGCCGTCCGCCTGGGCTTCCACGATGCTGGCGGTTGGTCCAAGGGTACCGGCAATCTTGGTGGAGCTGACGGCTCTATCATCCTTGCTTCCGAGGAGATGTCCCGCGGCGAGAACCATGGTCTTGAGGAGATCGTTGCCCAGACACAGGTCTGGTTCGACCGGTATAAGCAGTTCGGAATCGGAATGGCCGATCTCATTCAGTTCTCGGCAACTGTAGCCACTGTCGTGTAAGTCCATCTAGGCCCTTGGTCTGCCAATCTGAGCATGAACTGATCTCATGATAGCTGCCCCTTGGGTCCCCGCATCCGCACATACGTCGGCCGCAAGGACTCGTCCGTCCCGGCTCCTAACAACCTTCTTCCTCCCGTCACCGGCTCTGCCGATTTCTTGATCGAGCTCTTTGAGAACAAGACCATTAAGCCCCACGGCCTCACCGCACTCATCGGTGCCCACACCACCAGCCAGCAGCGCTTCGTGGACCCCAGCCGCGCCGGCGACCCGCAAGACAGCACCCCCGGTGTCTGGGACGTCAAGTTCTACAAGGAGACCCTCGGATCAGCCCCAGCTCGTGTCTTCAAGTTCGCCAGCGATGTCGTTCTCTCCAAGGATTCCCGCATCAGCGCCGAGTTCCAAGCGTTCGCCGGCCAAGGTGGACAGTCTCACTGGAACGAGGACTACGCTCGCGAGTACATCCGTCTCTCTCTTCTTGGTGTCTTCAACATCAACGACTTGACTGAGTGCACCAAGGCCCTGCCTCCTCGCACCGGAAGCACCTTCAATGCTCCCGACCAGGCTGTTTTGGACAAGTGGCTCGCTACCAAGGACCGTCTTAACAACATTGCCGACCAGCTGAGGAACGGTGGCGACATCAACGGTATGATTGCCTCTGTTATGAGCTGGCTGAAGGGAGTCTTCCACTTCAGGTGGTAAGCATCTTCTGGTTCTCATCCTGTCATGTTCGGGACATAGTCACATAGAGGCGTTCGGGTCTATTTATTGGTATACAAAAACCGCCGTATCCGGCAACAGTAGATACAAACCACATAATGTCTATATCTAATCTAAACCACACTTGGTTTCCATGAAAGTAGCAGGCCGTTTGTCATAGTTGTACCATGCCATCGTGCTTCTCCTTGTCGATTTGTGCCCTGTCGGCAGAGAAGGAGGTATCCAAGACACTTGGTCTCAATGATAGTCCTTGAACTATAAGTTATAGCACTGTCTTTGACCAGACATTTAAGCTAGCGCTCTGTCCCCCGCAATCTAGGCACACGTTACTCTCGTGTAGACGAAACGTCTGGTGAGTGCCCCCATCGTGACCCGCTCCAACTCCACAGACGCACAACTCGTCTCCCACCAGCTTTCTTGAGCAAAACTGCGGCGCACTCTGAACATCCAGAACATTGTACGATGCTTCAGGATCACTAGCCCTGGTGGTCTAGCGGTATGATTCTTCCTTAGGGCTTCAATTAGATTTTCGAGTCTTAACAGCCAGATTGGAAGAGGTCCCAGGTTCGAATCCTGGCCAGGGCCTATCTTTTAGCTTCTGTAAGCTTCTCCCGCAGCCATCTGGCCTTTTTGCTCATGGTAGTCAGTTACCAGAGCTTTTGAACTATCTAGACAGATTTTCAACCTGTATCTCGGACAGACGCATCAATATGAGTAATTTCTACTATTGAAATCTCTAACGCTGAACAATCTTAATACAGAATTTAAACAAAAGTAATGTGCTATACTCCGGATCCAAATTTCTTGCAATAGGCAAATGCATGTCTATCATGGTGTCATGATCACTTAGGAACACAGACGCAATTGGCCGAGTTGTTCCCTTTACACGAGGATCCGCCACGTTTCTGTAGGCCTCATAATCAGGATTGACACCTACGAAGAGTAGAAACGCCAAGAAGGCTTGATAAATACTACTCACCATTCCTTGCTTGCCGCAAACATCATTACAAATCGCAACGGAGTCGCAACCTTCTCCAGGCGTCTGAGGTAACGCATTCGCGAAGTAGGCAAGAGCCATCAACAGCGTAGCGTACGGAATGGTCTTCATGTTCGTTGAAAAGCTGTTGAACCGGATCAAGATGATGATTAATATGCGAACTGTGACTCTAGTCGGCTCTTTTTGAAGTGGATGGTCTGATCGTAGATCTTAGAGTTGTGGAGTGCTAAGCATTGTTTTCATTTGGGGAAGCTAAGTAGATATTTATCCAGGTTCCATACTCGCATCCACGCAGACGGTCAGAAAGCGAACGCGGTATTCAGCGCAGTCATGCTGGCCATGTCATCATGTCATGTTTCGGAAGACGGGTTGACTCATGTTGTGCAGACGGCAGGCCATCGATTGATTCGTGCCCCGGACTTTCCTGTGTCGTCTCAAGAAGTGAAACAAGCTTGAAGTTCACCTCGTATTCTGGAAAGCTTAAGATCACCGGTGATCCAAACTGCCGGAAATCTGCCATACCAGTAATGACCTGGCATCTCAATTGTCGCCCTAGTGTATCTGCACTGGGTTTGACTTGAACACTGAGAGCCTTTGTAGGGCTGTGATTGTTTGAAGATGTCGCCGGTCATCCGCACAGGTCGTAGCCCACTGGATTCGGATTTGCCTCCCTCGCTTTCAGAAAAGGCTGCTGTTGAATTTCTTGAATCATGTGCAGAATTGATTACGACTTGGTTGTTTCGAATGAACCGATGAAACTGCGAATACCCACGGGGTCGAATATCCACCAGCCCGACCCTACGAGGACTTCTAGCCCTTTTGAGGCTTCCGAATTCAAGGCTGAATACCGTAGTAGCCCACTAAAAACTTACTTGCGCTCTGCTTATTTAGGTATCATGCGTTGGAACAAGAGGAAATTGGAGAGGGAGAGATAGTTCGATGGATGAGAAGGCAAGTTGAGGTTTTGGAGCAATGTAGAGTCATTAACATTAGCAAGAGTCAATACCTGACTTTAACCGACATCCCCATAAAAGACTCAGCATGAAAGTTGAAATCCATAGAGTTTTCTAAACCCTCGTGCCTCCGTCAGTGCTGTGAGCAAAGGTTATATTTCGAGCTCTATGAAATTGTCCCAACTTGAGGGGAAAAAGCCTAGTGTTTATGCGAGGGAAAGTATGATAAGGGTGAGATTCCACTCGCTGCCTGCATATCTGTAACTCCGGACATGATGTGAGCTACATTTGTTTGCTCGTGTCCGCTAGTTATTCATTACAAAAGTCCCATCTTAAACACTCAACTAGCAAGTTGCCGGCCAACAGTGACCCAATCGGCATCGTCGGCTCACCTATACAAATGGGGCGTCTTCAAGGCTCGATATTCTCTCAACTGCCTGCGGGTTTCAGGTCTCGATTTAGTGTTGGAGGAACTTTGGTGTTGCCAGCGATCTAGAAGTCTTGACACCTGCTCCTTTTGTATTCACTCTCGAGAAACTAGATGCGGCGCAGTCACGCCTAGGCTCAGGGGAAAGCCTCTGCACTCAACGCCGCCTCGGAAAGAACCTAGATGCAGCCTTGCAACGGCCCTGGTTCCGGCGAACCGAGAGGGCGGCTCAGCAACAATCTGGGGATTGTTGCTGACCAGGGGGTCTATACCAAAGTTCCAATATTTTCCGTCCGTCGCGTGACCCCGTACAACATTGCAGAGATTCTGAATGGTTTTCAATGTTCTTGAAAAAGGTTGACAGGAGTTGAGCGGAAGGCATATCGAAATAGCATACATGTAGTCTTCAAGAGTTAATACTGAGTTTGCTTCCTTCACATGAGGCCCGGCATAGTCTAATCGAAATGCTCGCAGAGCATCTCGCCGCATAAAAACAAGCTTATATGCTTAAACGAATTTAACTCCTGTTCGATAATTCAGGTGGGTCGCTCATCTCCCCATGCCTCTGGCTATAAAGCGAAAACCGAAGTCCGATAGGTCCAGGGTTCATTGACTTTCCACCAGTTACAGGCGTTCAATCCCACACCCAATTGAGGATTTTTAGGAACTAGGTGCCGAGTAGAAGGTGGTGGAAGTTGAAAATTCAAATGATCAAAGCAGAAATTGGTATGAGCGAAATCACATGTGACCCTCTCAATGCTAACGAGATTTGGCCGTTGTAGGCCCACAGCATGAATTTGTCCTCGCCAGAGGGCGTAACAATGCTTGTCGTGATGCAGGTAAGCTCCCGTTTAACACCAAAGTTCTATTCTTCGGCGACTACTACGCGATTTCTCTGAGCTTCCCTAAGGAAAGATCCTTATGACAAAGCCGAGGCCTTCGAGTTTCGTTGACAAACAGAGCGACATAAACAGTTGAGGCCATCTCGCTCAAGTCAACAGCAATTCTTGGAACATCGAGCCCACTCCAACTCTCTTCCCTAGTCCAGCATTTTCCACCAGTGTTCGCGCTTAACATTCATCATGAAGATCTCTACTGTTCTTCTCGGCCTAGTCGCAACTGTGGCCTCGTCGGCCATCCCCAGCGAGGTGAGTACCCAAGAAGCCGATGATTTGAGTGATGACTGACGTGAACGGCCTAGCCTCGCGGTGTTGAAGTCCAATACGCGCCCCTACCTTTTCCAATTGGCCAGGCCGGATGGGTTGGGGTCTTGGAGGAGGGAGGCCCTGTGGTTGAGGTCTGGGGATCCGACCTACTCGTAAGACAATCTCTTTTCTCTCGTGGTACCAATCTTTCTCCTTACTTATAGCATTCTTAGGATATTGAAGCCAAGGTTCAGGAGGCGCACAGCGCGTCCATCTTCAACGGCACTGTCGATGTTGAAGGCATTCCCGCTACCCCTGAGGTTGCCACAGCCTTCTACAATGAAGCCCAGAACCGCCAAAACGCAAAGCGATCCCTTGAGAAGAGAGTACGTTACACGTTCCATGTCCTAAATCTCCACAGTCACTAGCAAAACACTAACGTTGTGATGTTCAAGGCTCCCCATTGCTTCGAGAAATGGGGTAAAGTAGATGGCTTCCAGGTCAACACTGGCGTGAACAATTTGCGCGCCGTCAACGGAGGTTGCAAGGTCAGAGCGCGCCAGTGTATTCGCACCCAGTGTGTCGGTGAAGCGGCAATCGCTCTTTGTAACGACAACTATTACGATCTCGAGGTCTCATGCGGTCACGTTGCCGATCTTGCGCAGGCTATCGCCCACGACTGCATCTGGGTGGACATTTGCTTTGACCCAAAGCAGCCAGCCCATACCTGCAAGACTTGGTCCGCTGGCCAGAACTTTGACGGCAGTCACAACGTGATTGTTGGCAACTGTGGTGCTGTCAGCTCTAGTGGCCAGCCTGTCAAGGCTTAGAGATTCTGTGAAAGCCATCATGCCATGGTGGATTACTTCAGTACGCGGGCTTCGCTGGCAAACGTTCCAAGCCTGTGGAACATTCTTTCCAGCCGCTTTGATTCTTTCTTGAATACCTAAATACATCATCGCAAAAGTATGATATAGGAAAGCATTTACTGTTTGCAGACCCAACAAGTATTTAGCCACCTGATGATCTAATTGAAGCAGGCGCCTTTGGCATCTCCGGTGGCTGAAGCACAGTTTGCCTCAAAGTCAAATGCCGGGCCTCTTATCTCTACGGAAGGATCCAGATAGGACATCGTATCAGCTCGTAGACGTCAACAGGGGCTCGTCTTTCCAGTCGGCAGACTACCCTTCCAATTCGTGACCCCGGTATGATCAAAAGTTCCTCAACTCTGTATACTATGATGGGTTTTGGCACTTGTTGCGCCTCTGTTTGAGATCATTATGCCTTACGAATGGCATGTAGTCGCATTGCGTCTGACCTTGCGTCTGACTTGGTTGACAGAAATCCCTTTCGGGAATGTTGAACGCTCCCTGGGGACTTCGGGGCCCGCGCTCCATGGGATGCCGGTTTTCCGGTCGAGGTCTTGTCGTGCAAATCCGTGTAGGTCAAATGCGAACCTGGAGTTGAACATTTGCAGAGCATGCACAGTCAATTCTAAGTCTCATATGTTCCTGCAGGAACTTTTGTTAATCGATGACATTGGCGACGAGGCAGTGCTAGATTGACTCCTGCCGGCGAGGACCTCGGTTTCAACTGGGTTCGATGACGGACCACCCAACGTGGTACATGGATCATCATCTCTGGCATTACAGTAGAGCTTTGATATGGGGCACTAGGTACTATGACCTGGGCGTGATGAAGCAAGCATGAAGACCAGATCTACCTGCATCAAACGATTCCGAGGTCATCGGGAAGGCAAGGGCCCAGGATTACAGCTCGTGCAGTAGTTGGTTCATCTTCACTGAATAGCATAAGTTGGTACGAATGATATGCACAAAAGTGTGTGTCGTCTAATTTTATCTACTCTGTGACTGGAGTTACATAGCATCTTAAATGACCCTTGAACAACGCAAGCCCAACATCAATCCAGTCGAAGTCGTCGTCATTTGTCCCATCTAAGCTCAGGTCGAAGCGACGGAAGAGGTTTGCGTACGCAAGATACAACTCGCACCATGCCAAGTTGATCCCGAGACAGCTGCGCGGTCCCTTGGAGAATGGGACGAAATAACGATCAAGCCTTTGTTTCGCAGCCTCGTCTGCTACAAGCCATCGCTCCGGGGTGTACTGATCAGGGTTCTCAAATGCCCATGGATGTTGCATGGGAAATAGAACCCCCATGCTCACAATCGTCTAGGAGTCGTGTCAATCCTCTGGTTATTGCATTCTCTGTATTAGGTCGAAACTCACGTTTCCTGGGACTTCTGCCCCGCCAATTTTTGCTCCATGGGGAGGCACGAGCCTAGAATTTTCAGATGTGGTTGTTGGTGCCATCCGTAGTGCTTCCTTAATGACCGATGTCTGCCTTCATGTTAGCTTCAATCAAGAGTGGTGGCGAGATACTCACCAAATAAGGCAGTTTCTCCAGCTGTTGTGCCGTTGGTGTAGGGCCTTTCAAATCTGGCCATACTTCCTTCAGCTCTGTCTTCAACCTCGCATACTTCTCAGGGTGCTTGCACAGGTGATAGGTGCCAAGCGTCATAGTTGCTCCGGTTGTATCAGTGCCGGCGATGACAAGAGCAATGGCCTCTTCCATCAACGACGCACGAGAAGGCGGAGGCCTGGACAGGCTGTAGTTTTCTGGATCTGTGAGTGCGCCGTAGATCATTGGGGTCTCATCTGGACTGGGCTTCCCGACATTGGCCCTGATGTTGTCAATTTGTTCCGCGAACATCTGACAGCAAGATACTTGTTAGCCGGACTTCTCACGGATTTGAATGTCCATTCTTATAGGGCCTAGATAGCGAACGCACGTTTTTCATCTGCGCGAATGCCACGCCGCTCTTGAAGAACGTAAGGCCAACCCACTCTGGCACCCAGAGGATGAGCTGCCTCACTAGCCAGAAGTGCTTAAACACCATGAACCAAGCGACGATACTTTCCATGGACTCCAGAATCGGGCTATGGAAGTCTTCATGCTCGAAACAAGCTGCTGATTTTCCAAAACAGATGGACGTGATTGTCTCCAGGCCAATGCACCGAAATGCGAGACTCATGTTGACAGAAACGCCCCCTTCGTAATGTTTGACCAAGTTTGAACAGAACTTGTTAATCTGAACGTACGGTCAACGAAGAATCCTACGGGTACACATAGTATATGCTTGCGTTTTCTTGTATAAGTTGCTCTCGGTTGTAAACAGAACTCTTGGAGAAGAATGGATGGAGGATGTCCTTGCGATTCTTGTTGTCTTGGTGTTTGACAAAGGTGACGGTGGCACCGTCGCCGCCTAGAAGAGCGTACATGAACGGATCTTTGTCGAACTTGGTGCGATAGATTCCAGAGTATGCGTCAGGATGGTTGAAGTGAAGCTATCGCCATGAGTGACCATGCGTTCAACGAGACGTCAGATTTGCTTACCCGGTTCGGCCCAATTCTAACAATGTCGCCTGTACACAGAGGTCAGAAGAATAAACAACCCCGGAGTCTCATTTAACTACCATATTTGGCATGCAGATCGACACAAATATGATGCATCGATCTATTGACAATAGTCTGCTGATATGTCGACCACCAGCTACTGGCTGCGGCTAGTCGTGGGCCTGGGAACTTGGAGAGTGGGTGGAAATAAACGTTGCGAATGCATTCTCCAAGCCAGAACAAGGCCCAAAGGCTGGTAGCAAATATGATACCAGACTTCAGAGCGTCCAGCGCGAGATTGGTATGGTTCCAAGTCATTGTAAGATGGTGTATGATGGTGTTTGATCAGAGTGTCCCAACAGAAAAGCTCAAGAAGCAAGATAGCGCAATGCAGTAGCAATAGGCGATCCGAAATCCAATAATTCAGCTATATATGAGAGCTCCCTAGCGTTAGGAGGTAAAGTAAGGTCTGAAATATTTCCTATCAGGGACGATTCGTTGTAAACGCAATACAAGCCCCCTCCCCCTACGATACTACGTTGGAGGCCATGTAAACAAAAGTACCTGGCAGTTGTGACCCAAGCCTGCTTATCAGCCACCCCTACGTTTCGGGTCACGTCCAAGAAACTCAAATGTTGCTATTCTGCAAGATCCATTCCATTTTAATATGACTTGGGCATGGGTCTTTGGCCCCTGCAAGACTCTATGGTACGCTGTCCCGTAGTTTAGCCATACCTTTGACGACCTCACTCATGGCTCAGTGGCCTACGGTCGTAAGGGTCCTGGTAGTACATGAGCTCGAGGATATAAGAGGGTCAAAATTCAACTACTAACGGTAAAGGCCCTTCATGCAACACTACACAACAAATCAAGAAAACCAAATTATCAAATCACCAAAATGCCTTCGTCAAAGTTGAGCGTATCCTCTGTCAACGGTAAGCTCACCGCCCATCGTCTTATCACGCCATATTACACTCTTCTCATACTCCTACAGGGAGCATTTGCGGCCCGGAGAATCTGAAAGATGTTTCACAGATTGCTTACGCCTACGATTGGCTCCACGATGCTCCGTATTTGGATCCCAAGACTTCTCTACTCCCGTTGGCCGGCTACGAGCGGCTTCAACAATGCCGTACTCCTTCTACTGACGAAGAAGACGAGCCTACTGATGTTAATGGTTTCGATATCTTTCCCGTTCGAGCCGGTCTGCCTTGGCCGACGGGATTTCCCAAGGCACGCCAGAGCCGCCACTGGGAGGCCGGACTGAGAATCTCTTCAGAGCTCCTGGAGCTTTTCAGCACTGATTCCAGCATGTTCACCGCCGTCAAGCTTAATGGCAGGTCGCTTGCCAGAATTGCGTCTCACGAACTTTTACTGCCGGAAGAGGACCGGTTCACCAAGTTTGCCACGTACCTGTTCCCCGAAGCCGACAAGGAGAGAACCCGCCTTCTCGCAGCCACCATTGTGTTCATTGTCATCTTTGATGGTAAGTGACAATGCATAACTGTGTGTACTTCATAATCGCTGAACTGTCTCACAGACTCGTGGGAGATGCATAGCGAGGACAAGGTACACATCCCATTCCCGGAATAATACTAGGTCCTTGCACTGAGTGAGTATTGACCTTGAAATTTAGCTTGGCGTGGTTCGTGATGATTTTCTCCGCCGCCTGGAGTCCAACGGAGAGAAAGAAAAGTCCAAGTCCGAACTGCAGTCCCTCATCGGTTACGTTGTGGACGGTCTCAAAAGTCACGACAAGATCGCCGGCAACGGAGGCCAGGAGGTCATTGACCGACTCGCGGACTTTTGTCGACATGTCCCGCCCCAGTCAAACTTCGCCAGCCTGGCAGACTACTTATCCTACCGCAAAATTGATGCGGGTGTCCCGTAAGTTCAACATTCATGTCCTTTCAAGTGCCGCGCACTTCTCCTCATCACAAAAGGCCCGACCCGCATCTAACAATCAATTGTTTGCAAGGTATATCTTGGCATGTGTGAAGTTCTCGCTAGAGTCCAATGTTGAAATTGAGGACCCCAAGATGACCAGGATCCTCCGTCTTGTAAGCGATCACGTGTCGCTAGTCAACGACCTGGCATCTTTCGACAAGGAGCTGAAGGCGCTTGAGGACGACAAGGTCTGCTACATGATCAATGCGGTCGACGTCGTGCGTCGTCTGCTTGGATTAGCTACCTATTCTGCCGCCAAGGCCGTCACTTACAGCGTGCAGCTGGAAGTGGAGGCTCAGATGGAGGAGGAGCTGGAAAGGCTTGCCAAAGAAAGAATCTTGTCCCCCAAGGAGGAGCAGTTTGTTTCCGCTGCATTGACCATGACGGCGGGGAACCTATTCTATTCCGTTGTAACTTCCAGATATGGTGGTGAGGCTGCCAAGATTGATGTCTAACGACAGACATGGCCCAAAAGGCGATTGCGGAGCGCGTATGAGTCGGGGAGTTACATCGGTCCAAATATAGGCTTTTGAGATATGTCTACAATACAACGGTTCTGCGTGGATATGCAGGGTCATCAGTGCTACAGTACCAAAAGTGCCTCCCAAGGATCTACCCTATCCCCCCTTCGCGTGGCTGTGAAAGTACACAACTCTATAGGATTATTTCATTACCGATACTCCCCGAGCGAATCATAAAGTGTCTATATCATGATGTCTTGATTCGTCTCGAATCGGCAACTAACAACTTGGCGCGCGCTTCTTGCACGGACACGAAAACCGCGTAATGTCTTTTCCAAGCCTGCTTCTCACTCCTTTTCAAGTGCTTTCGAGCCACTGGCTCTCAGCCTGCCTGTTATTCTTTGTTATTCGTGCTGTCTGTCGTCGCTATGCTAGAAGTCTCAGGAACATTCCTGCAGTCAACTTCCTTGCAACTGTGAGTCGTTGGAACAAGATCCTCCAAGTGTTGTCAACTCGCGCTGAGAGGAACTTGTTAGAAGCACATAGGAAGCTTGGTAAGTCCTTAGACAAAGTTTAACGTCGTTTACTTGTTGAAGCTCAATGATGTAGGTCCCATCGTCCGCATCGCCCACAATGAAGTCTCGATTGCAGATCCAGCAGCTATTCCCATCATCTTTGACAACGAACAGAGATTCGTCAAGGTAAGGTCGCATCCCGCAAAGACCTCTCTACGCTTCAAACCCACCAACACGAACAAGACAGACTGGTATTACATGTTTGGTTTCCCAACACCAGACGACGCCAACCTCTTCTCCGTAATAGATGCAGTCGAACATAAGCGCATGAAGCGCAATGTTGCCTCAGCCTTCTCCATGTCTGCCCTCATGGCCTTGGAAGAATTTGTCGACTCGACTGTGACGTTATTCATCCAGTGTATGGATGAGCTCGCCATATCGCCTTCAGTCCCGCCATCACAGCGCAAGGCTCCGATCAACGTGGTGGAGTGGTTCCAGTGGTACGCCTTTGACGTTGTAGGCGAGCTGAGCTTCTCGCGCCGTCTCGGTTTCCTCGACAGCAAGTCCGATGTGGGCAAGATGACAAAAGTGCTCGATAGCTTCATCCAGTACGCATCTACGGTAGCCATGATGCCAGAACTGCACAAATTCCTTCTCGGAAACCCGTTGGTGGCCTATTTCCTGAGCTCCCCGGCGCTGGTTATCTCGGACGTTACCAAGCAGGAGATGGACAGGCGTGAAGCGGATCCGGATGCAGTGCACGTCGACATCATGGATAAGATCATCCAGTCTCAGAAGAGGATTGGAACTCAGGAGTTTCCGCACAGCGAAATCTTCCAGCATGCCGTGGTCAACCTATCCGGTGGCTCGGACACGACCGGCATCGCCATGGACTCCTTGATTTACCACCTCCTCAAGAACCAACCGGCCTACGAAAAGCTTCAGGCGGAGATAGACCAAGCCGCGGTCAAAGGTAAACTATCGGACCCGCCAAAGTACAGCGAGATAAATCACCAAACCATGCCATACCTCGCGGCATGCATCAAAGAAGCTTTCCGCATTCACCCACCCGTCACCACTACCCTTCCGCGCCATGTGCCACCCGGCGGAGCCTACATCTGCGGCCGCTTCTTTCCGGGCGGTACCAGAGTGAGTGTCTCGCCCTTTGTCGTGGCAAGAGACAAGACCCTCTTTGGGGAAGATTCGGATGCGTTTCGACCGGAGCGTTGGCTCGAGTGTTCACCGGAAAGAGCCTTTGAAATGGAAAATGGTTGTCTGCATGTAGGTTGCTCCCCTAACATTGATTCCCTTTTTCGACACAGATCACTTCTAACTACGACATAGTTCTCTCATGGGGCGCGTATCTGTCTAGGACGCCACATTGCCGTCATGGAAATTTGTAAGGTCATGGCTGCGCTACTAAGACGTTTCCGTCTGGAGCTTGCTGCCCCGGACGAAGAATGGGATGTGCGCACGTACAACCTGCCGAAGCCAAAGTCTCTCAACGTCTGGATATTTCGTAGAGAATAATACAGCGTCTTGATTTGTTGAGCAGCGATCAAGAGCATCACGACTAATGACTCTGCTTGCCATGAACTCAGAAAGCTTATGACTTCTCACTAACGATCATAATCTCCAATCTCTTCCTCGTAATACCTCTCCTCAACTCTCGTGAACCCAACTTTCGGCCCATCAACGGGCCATGGCTCACCTTCCCCGGTAGCAAACAACGCAAAAGACGCGCCAGTGAACACATAAAACCCCGTTGGCGCAAAAGCCTGCCATTTTGACTCAATCTCTGTGACATACGTCGGTTCGTCATTGCCAAAGCTGTATCCCAAGTGATATGCTAATGGTTCGGCCCGAATATGGAACCTGAGCCCGCCCTTGAGCGGAGACGACGAGTTGAGAGGCCGTTGCCAGTACTGTTGTGGAATCCATGTCAGCATACCCTCGTCGTTCCATCTGTTTGAGCCTCAGCCCAGCGGAGAGAACCCAATGGTAAACAAAAACTCACATCAACAGTCCCGTTCCTCCTAACCTCCGTAAACAAACAAACCCCCCCAACATCATCACATCCCTTAACACCAACATCCTGATGCTGAAACTCACTCAAATAACTCGCCACACCAACCCTCATCCTCTGCCCCAACAGCCCCTCAAATCCAAGCAGTTCCGCAGAAAACGTCATGTTCAGCGATGTCTGCTTCCGTAGTACCGCCGCGGGGTGATCCCGGTCACTTAGACCAAAGACATTGGGCTTGAAGACTAGACGCCCGTTGTAGATATCGTACGATTTGACGTACGGCGTCCGGAGCTGGTACCATGATGGATCTAGCTCTTTTCCAGAGAAGTCGTCCATCCAAGGGTCGGGCGTGTTCTTGGGTCCCGTCTTGGGGCCTACTTCTTCGCTGAGGAGAATGGGATTGCCGTTGTTGATGAAAGGCCAGTCGTTTTCCCATGTTACTTCTGCAAGGAACGTCTCGCGGCCTACAAACGACACGTTAGCTCTCATATGGTAGGAGCATGTACCTTGAGAATCGAACATACCTAGAGGCGAGCTCCCATTCACATTCCGCCTCGCAATGAACGAAGCAAACCACTTCCCATCAGCAGCCTCCACAAATGTCGCATGCCCCGTCGATTGCACAGTCAAATTCTTGGCCCCCCATTGTCCGTTATACATGAGAGGATTATGCGGACATGGCTCAAACGGCCCAGACGGCGACTTACTTCTCGCAATCGAGGCGCGGTGCAATTCATCGGTGCCGCCTATCACTCACGTCAGTCTCATACAAACAACCAGACGCAAAGTAGCACATGGCAAAAGACTCACCCTCAGCAATAAGCAAATAATACCAACCCCCTCTCAAAAACATCTTGGGCCCCTCAGGTCTAGCCGTCGCATTCCTCTCCAACGTCCCGTTCCAAAGACTCTTATACCCATCGCCCACGCACTTCCCACTCGAAACTGAGACCTCACACTGCGCAATCCCCCAAAGCCTCTCTTTATTATTATTCGGCGCCATCAGATTCAAATACGTCCTCCCTGTCGCCGGATCATGGAATAACTCTGGGTCGATGCCCCACGGCTCCGCCCACACGGGGTCGGACCAACTCACAAGATCCGGAGAGGAGATGAACCATACACGCGGCCAGACGCGGGCTGTGGGGTCGTAAGTCCAACGCGTCATGCCGGAGAGGTAGAATTTGCCGTGGAAGTGGGTTAGGCTTGGGGCCCAGGCGCCTGCAAGGTGGTGTTAGGGATATGATTGAGATTGAGAAACAGCCGTTACCGGGGTTCGTGTGAGAGGATTGGAGGTATACTACCAGCTCCGGTTGGGACGCCGTAGAGTTGAAGCTGCTCTGGCCTCGTCAAGGCGTGTGAAACGAGCGTCCACTTCGACAAGTCCTTGCCTATCCACCCTGTATCAGCATGTTGTAGTGACAACACTTTAAAGGTGCGATGGGTATTGTTGTTGATCTTACTGTGATATATCGGCATCCCAGGCCAATACTCAAAGGACGAAGTAGCAATGTAATAATCATCCCCCACACGGAGGATCGCAGGATCAGGGTTGAAACCCGAGACGATGGGGTTCCAAATCGCCCAGGCTGGCGCGAGCAATACGGACAGCGCGAATAGCAGACGCATGGCGGCGAGCATCATTGTGGTATTGTCTCTACCCCGGATGAAATGCCGTTGTATTGATGCAACGGGTCATTGTGCTATTTAATGATCGCATCTCGGTGCCGATAAGGTTTTATCGTGACATTGGTGTGGCTGATTGGCACATCTTGGCGTGGCCGGCGTATTGTCCGGAGCGGATCCCGGGCGGACGCCGGCCGTCTACCGGAGAAAGGGCCGAACAGCACCTTGTGTCTCTCGAGCCCAGCCAATGGTCAAACCCCAAAACCATGTATCAGTATTTGGCCGACATACACGTTGCATGCCACTCGGAGTTTATGTCAAATGTTGATCTTGATGAATTTGATTGCTCCCAATTCTCTTACTATGGTATATCAGACTCCGACCTTTGCACTACCACCCCCACCCTAGTCACAGCCTCGAAATGTTCTGGTATTCTTCAGAATCAGGATGGCTATGCACTAGCCTTCCCATCTGATCTTGAAGTCCTTCAAATGGTAGACGCCAGGCCCGCCACCAAAACGCACACAAACTCACCCCAAAAACGAGGACCCCGCCCTATTAATGCTCCCTCCGGGAGCCTAACGTGGAATAGGCTGAACACCAAAATGACTCGGCCAGAGAGGAAAGAATGAAGGGAAATATGAAATATACAATAGAAACCCAGCAGTCGTAGAGATTGACTCTGGGGGTAGTTGAAATAAAGCAAAACCAACGGCAAAAAATACAAAAACGTTCTCATAGATTCGTGACGACCATTTTCTCTCTTTTTTAAACCCCCGCCATCCATTTTAATGATACTGAGAGATGATTAGAGATGATGAAGATATTCGTGGCGGTTATGTTGGAAGTGTTTAAATCATGCCACCAGGCATGTTTCCGTTGTTCAAGCCGCCTGTCATGGCCGTGGGCTGAGGCATGTTGGGAGGGCTGTTGCCCCGGGTGAGACGGGCACGCATGTTCATGCCATTGGCTTCGCTGATGGTCTTTCGGAGGCGGCGCCGCTGGGAACCAGGACCGTCCTCTTCGTCGCTCACGGAGAACGCGCTGTGGCTGTCATCGCCGTGTTCACGAGGAATCGGCGGAGGGGAGAACGGCAGGTGAGGAGAGCTTGCGCCCATGTCGTCATCTCCTCGCCGTCCCATCATCGAACCAATCATGTTGCGACGCTTCGGGTTAATCGGAGGCACAGGCGGAGCGTTGATGTTGGCGTGTACGCTACCATGAAGGTTTGGTGTCGAGGCGGCCGCACCGAGAATGCTGCCGGATCGAGAACGAGAACCGCTTCTAGAACGGGACTCTGAGGTCTCAGGGAGAGCCACAGTTGGCACGCGCGAGGTTGAAGAGACAAAAGTCGGCTCAGAAATATCCTTCTTCCTGACAACCCTCTTCATCGACTCGTCGAGGCGGTTGACAGGTGCAGCCTCGGAGTTGGGCGACGGCACGGGAGGTGCGGATGGTCGTCGGGAGGGAACGAAAGCGGGCGAAGACTGGCTGACGGGAATCGACGGCGACGGAATAGGAGCCATTGGAGAAATGGGTGATGGCTGACCGGAATCAGGTCCCCGACGGCGGTACTGAACCGCCAGGTTGCCCTGGGACGCAGACCGGTCGAGAGACTTTGCTTGAGGGGCTCCATTCGGATACGGCTGAGGGGGCATGATGGGTGACCGACGAATGTTAGTGCCGGGGAGGCCCGGCGAGTTCAGCATTTGAGGTCTACCAGGAGGGGGCACCATGCCACGCTGCTCTTCGTGTGGTGATGAGATTGTGCCGGTGCGCAGCCGCGCAGGACGGTGAGGCCTATCGCCGCTGCTAGCTTCAGAGCCGCTGCGGTCACGCTCACTCCGTTCAGTCCGGGAAGGAGGGCGGGACGGCGCTCGGCCCTGGCCGTTACCGGTCTGTGGCTCTTCGCTAGGTGCCCGCTGCTGGTAGGTGACAGGAGGCGGTCGGCGCTCACGGGAAGGTGATCGTGGGCCGGGAGTGCGTTCTCGACTACTAGGGGCAGTCCTGGACGCAGGTGGGCCAACCATCGGAATGGACATGGAGCCAGGCATCTGGCTGGGGTTAATAGGGACACTTGATGGGCTCTTCTGAGCCTCCATCAACCGTCGCCTGGCTTGTCTGAATGCTTGAAGTCCAGCGTGCATCGAGTCGTCCTCCTTCTCCTTCTCCGGCTCGTGCGTGGGAAGTACCGGAGCTGTCTCGGCCCTAGGGAACGGTGGCTTCTCGCGTTCGTCATGAATAGGTGAGTGTGGTTCCTTCTCCTCGAAGCTTGACTTGTTCGGGCTGGGAGCGCTACTAATGGTCGAAGTCGCAAGGCCAAGCATCTTGATGGCCTTGGAGTGCTGGCTATCGACGCGGTTCTCGCGGTTGCGATCGATCAAAGAACCACGGCTCGTCTTCTGTCTCAAGATACCCAGAGGGTTCGGACGAGGCAACGACGGCTCTCTTGTACGATCGACGGGGTGTGGTGAGAGCGACCTGCTGTCGCGATCTGACTCCACATACGACGTTAGCCTCTCACGAACGCGGCGCGCGCGGTCAGCGAGTTGGTTGGCAAATTCGTCATGTTCCTTTTCCATCTCGGTGCTTGACCCTGTGTTGCGCTCAGAGGTTGGCTGGGTCTCTGATGGCAGCGTTTGGCGAGGCTGCGAGGTAGGCTCAGGAACCACTGGTTCCTTCTGCTCATTGAACGTCTGCTCATTGTCGTTGAAGGCCGAGTTTCTCCAGTCTGGAGATTGAACTTCCCAAGGATTAGCCATCACTCCCATATCCGCCATAGACTTGGGATCGTATGGGTCAAGAGGGAATCGAGAAGCAAAGTTGGAGGTCTGCGGCGCTGAGCCGTAGATGGATGAAGTGGCACTGTCGGTCCGCAGGTGCTGGCGGACCATTCCGCTGAGGCCGGCAGACGAGGGCAGCGTAGGAGAGTCTTGGGGCGAACTCGTCGTCTCGGCGGACACGGCAGTAAAAGGCTGATCGGATACAGGTGATGGCTCCACCGACGCGCCAGTGCTCAACGAGAGTGGTGTCGGCACGGCAAAGTCCCTGAGTGCGGGATGGTCGCGGTCAGCAGGCCGCCTTGTAGCGCCGTGGAATGCTGCAGCTGGGTTTGTCGCGTCGTCTTGGGGGGAAAGCGAGTCGTCATAGAAGCTCAATCCAGCTTCCTCTTCCTTCACGGTCGGCTCAGTACGAATCATTGGCTCGGGTTTCTCGACCGGCAGCCTCTGAGCCGACGAGGACGAGCGGGATCGGCCGGTAGTTTGGGATGCATTAGACTCGGTGCGGAATCTGTTGGTCGGCGTCTCTCGACCTTGCTGGAGTTGAAGCTGCCTCTGGGCGTATCTGGACTCGTCGTAGGAATGAAGCGGCTTTTGGAACAGTCCCATGGCAGTGGCTTTGCCCCTGTCACTGGGGAGGACAGAGCTTTCCTCACCTTCGCTGATGGGCGGGCTCAGCGGGGGTGCACCTCCAAAGGAAGACTTGGGCTCCGAGTTTGAGGGCACGTTGATACCCAGATCCATGGGGACGATTGGTGATCCCATGGTTGGCGGGCTCGCGGATCGCAGGTTCGGTGCGCTTCCCTTGGCCAAGATTCTTCTCTCGTTGCCGAAACGATCGCTGAAGAGACTGCTTGTTGGGGAAGGTCCGTTGAGGTCAGGAGTCCTACTGCCGAGTGTTCGCTGCCGAGAAAGAGTGTCCATTCGTGACAGAGCTGAAGATTGTTGTTCTTGGAGCTCGTGGTTGAGGCCCGTCTCGTAGAGGCGTCGTGCACGGGTAATGCTCCGGTCGAGATTGGGAGTGCCTGTTGCAGAGCTGGGTGCCGTCGGGTTTGACTGCCAATCTTTTGCTGCCGAAGTTGGTTGAGACATGACGGAAGTGGCTGCCGTTGAGTTGCGACCCAGTGAGGGCGTTGATGACGTTGTTGAGTTTGTTTCTCTCTTACGGTCGTAGCCCAAGGGCGGAGGTGATTCCGCGCGAGGGAGATCGATGCTTGAGGGCGTCTGGTCCTGTTCGTCCTCAAATGACGGCTTGGACTTCTCGGTCTGCCTCCATTTCTGGAAGGCCGACTTCGCGACATCGTCACCGTAGAGAACGCGTCCACTCATGCCACCGCCGTCGAGGTTTTTGGTGGAAACAGCGCCAGAGCCAAGCTTGTAAACTTTCTGGCGTCCACCAAACAAGTTGTTACCTTCTCCCGGCTTGGCTCGGTCCATGACGCTTCCCGAGATGGAGTTACCATCGGCCGAGTGGTAAGAATCCATCCGGTTAAAGGGTACTTCTTTTCTGATTGACTCGACCTCGGCGATGTCTGACAGACCGTTTGCAGGACCGAAACCAAAGTCCAGCATCCTTGACTGGCGCTTGGGAAACAAAACGCTGTCGTCGCTCGCCTTGCCAATTTTCGTGTTCGGGTCATCTTGTTCTCTTAGCATGGAAAATCGTGCAGATAACCCTGTCATGAGTAGACTTGTTCGGAAATCATCGGTGTTAGGCAAGGCGTTCTCGAGATCCAGTTCCTTCTTTGGCTCCTCTTCTTGTGATTTCTTTGCCTTTCCAAATAGCCGGAATGGCGTAGGTGACTCTGATTCGTGTGAGGCCCGTGGCGTCGAAGAGGCGGCATCATCCTTCGCCCTCTTCTTGGTGCGAAATCTGTTCATTGTGATTTATCGGGGTTCTGCCTCGTGGGCAGAGGTGCTTCGTGCGTGTGGTCGGCAGGCGGTCCGTCTTTTCCTTCTCAAGGCGGTTTTATCAAGCTTGGGTATTGGTGCTCTTCATTAAGCGACGTCCATTAATGGTGGTTGGGATGGTAGATCGAGAAGTTGGGACGAAGGGCGAAAGTTTGTTTGAAACAGGCAATGTTCGCTCGGGACGATTGGCTAAGAGTGCGTCTGAAGTCGAAATGCGGGATGGCTAGACACAAATAGCAGAGTCGTCAGCAAAAGATTTGACAGGAACCCTTGGACACACGACCACGTTCCGGTCTCAGCTCCAGACGGCTTCAGCCTTTGGGCGTGAACAAGCAGCAATTGAGTTCAGCACGGCGTCGGAGACGCTTGAAGCTGTGCTTGAGCCCCGTCGCAGCTGGAAGCTTGGGATGAAGGCGCGTCGGCTGGGTTTCTGGGAGAAAATGCAGCAAATATCAAAGACGGGGCGAGTAGGTGGGCGGTGGAACATGGGAAAGATGGAGAGAGCAGACATGTCGAGCAAGAAACGTACCTGGATCAGTGATGTCGCCGTGTCGGGAGTGTTTCAGCAAGATGGAGTTGTGTCCCAGCTGTCAACGTCGCATGTAGACTTTTTGCTCCTGGAGACCCAAAGCAGCGTCGATCCTTCTTCTTTGGAGCGTCTCAACTAAGGAGAAGATTGCTGGCGAAAATGTTGAAATGTGCTTGGACGACAGAATCGAAAGCGTCCAGAAGAGAAGAAGTGGTTCGTTGCGTGAACCAGAATAGACTCCTCCAGTCCTCCAATTCCAGGGTCGTACACAGATTCCAATGGTGTCCTGCGCAATAGGCTGGCGGCAGCAAGAGGTGCGTCGAACTCGGTCTGGTGACTGTACTACGAGGTGTAGGAACTGGACGTAACGTGTTGGCAGCAGCGAGCGAGGTGGATAAATTCCGTGGGGAGACTTGGTGGAATATGGCTGAATCGCTGGTTGCTGATAAGAAAGGGAGAGATCCCGTCGGGGGTAATTCGACAATCCCGGTCGAGTGATCTTGTTTGGGCGGTCCAAAGGTCGCAGAGATACTGGATCTCGCAGTGCCGTTCAAAAAAATTTAGGCGAGGTCAACCAGACAGGGCGGCGAGCAGCGTCGACAGTGTCGTATTGGAATACTCGAAGTCGAGATGACGGCGGAAAGAAGGAGGCGAGAGAGAGAATGTGTGTGTGTTGTGTGTGTCGAGAAAAGAAGGACTCGGGTGGGAATGTGAGAAGCTCTCTTGGGAAACCTTTTTTTTTCTTTCCTTGCCTCACCTGGGTTTTCTTCCTAGCAGGCAAACAAAAGGGAACCAAGAAGAAGGGGAAGAAAAGCAACGAGTGACTTGGGTTCAGTGTAGTGTACTAGTATAGTAGAGACGCTGATCGGATCCAGAGCTAAGGTAGGCTCGTGGCTCAGTGGAGAGGGAAGCAGAGGGCAGAAAGAGAGAAGGGGGGAGAATGAAGGTACTACGTAGGCGAGGAGCAAGGAAGGCCGGTGGAAGCAAAAGTAAACGACTGGAGACGATGGTCTTGGAGGACGAGGGTTGGATTGGATTGCGAGTGACGGGAGAAAGGAGTGACCCAGGAGCCCAAAGGAGGGAAAAGAAGAATTGCGGATGCAGTGCAGGGACAAGGTGACAGGCACCAGAAATTGGAGAATCCGAGCCACGAACGGGGGTGGTCGAAGATGGCTGTGGGTGTCACGGTGTGAGGGCGGCAGGGGAGAGAGAGATGGTGGACAAGGAGGAGGAGGAGGAGGAGATTCGAGAAGAGGTGTGTGGATTGTGGATAGGAGACGGCGTGGACGGGGAGAGGCGGACTGGGATTGTGGCTGCACGACGGGACGGATGGATGGTGATGGTTGAAGCAGGGGGGGGTTAAGGAGGGGTGTGGGATAAATCGTGAGATTGGGTTTATGAGTGACTGTGGGAACCTGGGAATGAGTGAGTGAGTGAGTGGTCACTTAGTACGAAGTAGTGTATTGTGAGAAACACTGTGAGTGAGTGAGTAGATGAGTGAGCTGAGGCTTACATTAGGGCTCAAAATGTCCCGGTCTCACATTCGGAGTAGAATGAAAAGAGAATAAATCCCCATCATCCCCGCCCATTACTCTCTCATCATGGTCCTAATAGGTACTCTGCTGGATTAGTCGTCATCTCATCGGCTCACCAGACAGGAGAGTCGACTAGGGACGGGGCTACGGGAGGAGAGGGATGAGACTCATTCGAGAGGCACGAAGGCGGCACTAAGAGAAAAGAGGAAGAGGAGGAGCGGGATTGGCCCCGGCTGGACACTCAAAAGAGGCCCCCTGACGCCCTGAGGACGAACAGTGGGTGAGTTCCTGTCCCCTGGCATTTTGTTCCTGGCACTTGTCTGGCTTGGGTCTGGCCCGGGATGCGAAATGCAAGGGACCTGGCCAGGCACAGGACACTGCACGCTACCTTACTGTGCAGTACTACGTAGGTAGGAGTACGGAGTACGCAGTATGGTGCTCACAGCGCAGCGTAGCGCGGACGAAGTCGAGTCGTTCATTGGTGGGCAGCAGACACCGAGCAGACAGACCCAGCACCAAGGAAAGCCGTTGGGAAGTAAGTGGTGATGGCGTCTGTTAGGTCGAACTGCGGAGATTTGGTGAAGAACTATGTACAGACACTAACAGTCTGATAGATGGGAGGGCCTTACGTCAGCTGGAATTTCGATCGAGGAGGTACGTACTCTGGAGGGGTGTCAAATGTCAAAATTGCAAGTGGGGTCCTTTCTCGCTGAGGTCGGGGGCTTTCTCTTCTTTTCCTCCCGCGCCTAGGTACCTTAGTACATACGCAGTGAGGTAGGTACACCGGCATGTTCCCTTCGGCTTATCTGCTACTCCTATCCTTTCCAGCAGCCGCGGATAGTGAATTGCCGTCCTTGCAGCAATTGGCTGAGCTGAGCAGACCAGAGGCAGGGGAGGTGTCTTGTTCAATGCATTCGAGTGTCTTGAGTCTCAATGCTGAATGGTAGATGTTTCTACACGCACAATCTGAAGCCAAAAAGCAAGCGCCGTCAAACGCCTTCCTACTTTACGGAGTACCTAGGTACCTGACCCAAGTAGGTACGGAGATACACAGTAAATCAGTTCCTTCCTCGCTTTACCTTGGTCAGCTCGAGTAGCGAGAGATACGTACCGGCTCTCTAAGGTGCCCAGGTAAGGTAGGCACGTATGTAGTGAGGCTACATCGCGGTTCTTCCACCGGACGGCAGGAACATGGGCGTGCCTGTGCCTGCCTGTGCCACCTACGGCAGGTGAAGCCTCAGATGCGTAGATGCGTAGACGCAGGTACTCGTGCGTACCATCCTGTTGTGCCTGCCTTGCCTCCTGCGCCTTTATTGGGACGGAAAGTGCCTGATTCGAACCTGGAAGGGAGCAATTGCGAGTGTTCCTTCCATCTCAAACAGCCTTGGAAGCACCACCGTCATTCCCATCTCTGCCACACACACACATACACTAAGGTGAACAACAATCTGACCCCTCCCCTTCAACCCTCAATGTCTCGGTCTGCCAGAGGATTCATCATCAAAACAAACCATCAGTCTCATCGCCATGACGCCTTTGGATTAGAGGGGCAAAGAAGAAACACATCCGCACGCCAGAGAACGCACATGACACCGCCCCAAATTCCATATCCTCTTGATCGACGGCTCCCTCAACATCAACAACCACAATAACCGCCACAGCCGCCTCGCTTTCGTCCTTCTAGCAAGCAATGGAAGTGTTCCCCTGTTCTGAAGAGTCTTCGTCAACTTCGAAATAGCCGGCTGTCTCTGTCCGAAATTGTTACAGCTGGACGGGATCGTTTACCTACGCCATCAATTCGCATCATCTCCGTCACCAAAGGCCTTCCGGCGTGGCCTCCAGCCGTACAAGTTGGCGCTTGCCCCAATATACACGCTGCGAGCGAAACACCTCTCGCATCGCCTGCAAGCTTTGATCAGCAACGCAGCCAAGACCCCATCCGAGCCTATGCCGTTCTCACCTACGCTCCTGTCACCAGAGTCTGTTCTTACCGATGCCCATCCGTTCAAATTCTAGCCTACGACAATAAAAGAACGAATTGCATGGCCACGAGAGTCAAATTCATCGTAAATATCGACAACAGAGCCGCTCAGATTCCTTCACAAGTCATCTGCCCACCGCTCAGAGGGCCCCGGCCCCCTCTCGTGCCCGCCATCGCCTGGCCCCCGCATGCTTCCCGTCGTTTCGCCTCACCATGTTCGCATATCACATTCGCAAGTCGTTGCCACAACCTTTGTTTATCAACCACTTGCTTCTTGGCCCTGTGGCTCTCTATCTCTCTCTTCTTCTCGATTTGGCTACGTTCGAAGCCGTCTTAAGAGTTTGCTGCTCGTTTCTGATCACCATCGTCTTGGCCAAACGCCGAGATGGACACAAGGGGGTGGCCCTAGTAGAAACGGGAGTTGGCTGCGTCCCGCATCTAATTGCATGGCTACGCCCTGCCGCTCCACCATTCTACTTGTGGACGTTATGGAGCTCTTGAGCATCGAAAGTCGTGTGGACTGTTAGTAGGCCACTCTCAAGCTATGCTACGGCTCCAGCAGTCATCAAACTTTGACCAGCAAGCACACGGTTCAGCGGTTCCATCACAGATGCTTTACTGCATGAATGGTCACCTACAGAGTACACTGTCCAGCCTATGCTCGTTGAGGGTGTTTAACCTTAAAAAGAAGCAACTGGCCCGACCTGTCCCAATGCTCCTTGCTAGTCAACATGCACACATGCTTGAACTCTGAGGCTGTACTGCGTATGCATTGATGCTCCCTCGCTGATCACTGAAGACTACGGGCAAGCCGGGCAAGCGTCAGATCAGTATCAGTCAAGCTCATGGGCAAATGGACTGACAAATGGCAGAGCCCACAACCATCTGCGAGGGGCGTGTCGACCAGATTGTCAAGAAACCAGGGGCGCACTAACAGGCCACTCTCATCCAAATGTCTCAGCACCCAACCAAATTATAACGCCAACCGTTGCAAGCTCTTGCCCACAGCTCAAAAAGTCCGGCTCTAATGGCAGTCAATGCATTAATCTTGTCTTGAATTCGAGAGCATGTGGAAAGCCACTGCCTAGACTCACCAAACCTCCGTAGTAAACTACCGGTAGCCTCGCAGCTTCAAGAGCGGCGTTCGTGCGCACGGCAAGACGTTGCCTTCCTCGAAGTTGCAAGTTGACTTTTCTGATCAAACGTACATTGGCTTCACACTCGCAACTGCGATGCGGATGCACTGCGACTAAGAAACCTAGGCAAGGACTTGATCTTATGCGCGGCCCTGTCTTCTTCTCCTGGGCCCCTTTTTGGTGTCTCAATCCTCAACTGAACAACGGGGCGGATACGGCCCTCACAATTTTGTCAACCGCCTGTTGTGGTCTATTGGTTCAGCCTCAAATCATGCCAGAGCCGCTCCGGTGTCATTGCACCAAGCACAATGAAACCAGTACCAGGAGCCACGGCAGAGGTTCAAGTATCCGGAGATCCTCTATCTCGTCCTACAGTTTGTTCTCAAGATTTTTGCGTCCATGCTGCATTGCTGGGTAATTGGCCAAGGTTGGTGTTTGCTGATCGGCACAAGATTCAATGAGGTACAGGAACTGCAGTGTTATCTGCGCCATTGTCGTCAGCCTGCATCTCGCGTACTCAGTTTGTAGCTGCTGTTCCCTCGGCGCCGCCACGCAAGATCCGTCCATGATCCGGTCAGCTGGTTTTCTTGAACCGACCCCTATTTTTGAGTTTTAACTCTCAAGTCTCCAAGGCGCACGACCTCGGCATCTATTCGTCTTGGGGCTCTGGCGATCGATGTCAACAGATGACAAGATACGAGCAGTGGCACAAACATCAGCTTGTGCTTTGCTCAGACTCATGCCCAGCAACTATTCGTCGTCGTCTTTCAGACCGGCAATGGCCATGGCAAACACCATTGTCCACTGTGGCACCCTGGTCTCCTTGATCAACTGCCTAGACCGAGTGGCCGACACGCTTTACCAGGTCAGCTTTGGCCCGCGCCCACTTTGCACATCACCCGTCTTGCCATGCAACCCCCGCGTTTCCGTCAGATTCGCGTTTCGGCTGTACTTCTCCAATGGAGCGCTTCTTGCATTCCGCTCCTCTCTTCAGCCCTCGAGACGTCTTGGGCAAACCTTCAGCTCAGCGACGATTTGAGCGCATCGCCTATCACCAGGCTTCCCCGTCCTTACTGCCTTTGAGTCGTTTGGTTTCGAATCGGGGTCCGTTTCAACTTGCTTTTGTCTCGGAGCTGTTAGGAGTGTCATTCGACAATATAGCAGGACTACTGCATCCCCGTTGATCTGGTCTCCTGAAAGGGAGGTGGCAATGCCGCGTGCCGCATGCGTGCTTGATCCGGTTTTCTTCCGGCCTGAACTACGGACGATATCCCGGCTTCTTGAGCCCGTCACGGCACGGGAATTGAGTGGCTTTGCGGAAGAAACGTCTGTCGTATGCAAGAGAGATTCCGGTTCTGCGGGCTGCGAATGCTCTGCAAATGCCTATGAATACGGGTTCAATACGGAAGAGGGATCCCAAGGTCCGTGTGCTTATTTCGCCGTGGCGACACTATCGCGTGTGACACACGTAAAGAGCAAAGTCCAGAAATTCCCTTGCTGGCGTTATGTCGATTCTTTGGTGTTCGTTGCAAGCCAATAAAGACACATCGAAAACAGTATACGAATATCTTTAGCCATGAATACGTTAGCTCTGGCTCGGGTCTACCTCACAACATCTACGGAGTACTCGTTGCGTCTATGTCTGACTTGGAGACACAACAACTTCACGATTCATGCGAGCTGCACAATTTCGTCCACGGGGGGGTGTGTCCCGCTTCTTCCTATTAGACGGACAGGCGATCCCTTGGCCTTCAGCCGTCAAGTGTTTGAACTCCCCGCTAGCCAAGCAAACGGACGCCTTCAGAGGCAGACAGCGACAATCTTTTCTTCCCCACCCCCTTTGGAAATTTTGAAGAGGGGCATTCGTCTCTCTCTCTCTCTCTCTCTCTCTCTCTCTCCATCCCTGCGGACCTGCCGCCAGCTTCCGCGGCCAATCAGCAAGCTGTTCCTGGCACTTTTACCTTTGCGGCGGCGATCGTGCGCTCCTTGCCTCTGCAGGTTGGATCACATTTCACCATCCAGATTGTGAGCTCAGCTGGCTTCAACGGCTGTCACTCCAAAGAGAGTGGCCCTCGTTCTTCGCTCTGGACGAAGCGCGGCATGAACGCGGAGCCTGCGCGAAGGCCATGCGGAGACGCTGGAGGGCTCCATTCATCCTCGGATTGGAATGGCGCCGGCTTCAAAAAATAGTATCTGATCATTCTGATGTTGGAAAAGAAAGCATTTAACACTATCCGTACAAGACGCACAGTGTCGGGGACTTCTGAAATGCTGGGCCCTGGCGCATCCTTGCACCAGATACCTATTGGCATCAGATCCCGGCCAAAGCTAGGGCTTCACAAGTTGATACTTGTATGAAAGTTGGATCGTCGGGGCTGCCGGTGCTGTTGACGAGTCGATAACTGCTTATTCGTACGGAAACGGGTCAGCCCAACGGTCAGTGATACTTTCCGACATAAAGATGGGCAGACTCAGCTGTGAAGGTGCAATTTCTCAGGCGAGTCCACCCTGAATCCCAGCCGAATGGTTGTCGGCTGTTCGATCAGGAAAGCTACTGATCCAGCGGGTGGGATCGCAGCCCTAGATTACTAACGGATCCAACTCTTTGAGATTGAGGAAACAAATACTTACTTTCTTGGCAGCAATCAGTGAAATTTGTCCTTCAGCAACAATTCATCAGAGACGAGGCACTGCGGCAGCGCCTTGCGCATGTAGCTTTACTGTCGGCGGTGCAGCATGCTTGGTCAAGCCCTGCTAGACCAAACCACGTCAGCCAAGTTAATATGACCTGGGCCATCGAGATTGAGCACGAATCGAATTTAATCAATGTTTGATGGGCATGTGGGTGCGAGGTTTCTGCTGACGGAGCACTGAAAGCCTCGACGGCCAAAGGGAAAATTCCCGCTACAAGAAACACAGATCCAACTTCCCCGCCTGCTCCCAGGACTTTCCCGGTCCTGCAGCACGGCATGAACGCTGGCGGCCTGGGTTCGAAATGGCCCGGTGCAGCCGCAGATTGAGGTTGTAACATCTTGATTGACTGGAGAAAGAATGGAGTCATCAAAGATGTGCCGTGCGCCAGTTCGTCTGATAATGACGCTCCTACCAGCCGGGCCGTTCCCAGTCTTTAAGATTTACAACTGGTTTTTGACGGTCCAAAGCTTTTTTTCTTACTTATTTTTTTCCTCTCTTACCAGCGCTAGAACGTGTCTCCTCCAGGTCCACCCGGCGGCATCTTGTTGGCAAGGCTGACCCGGGGCTGATCGCTGGGGAAGACGAGGGATATTCAGAGATTGACGACCATACTGACGGACGGGCAACGGGGGCCAACGTGGCATCGACTGATGACGGCACAGAAAATCCCGAGCGTCGTGGTTGTAAAACGACGATCCACGATGTTGTTCAAAGGACACGGCTCACGCGGCGGCGTGATCGGACCGGTACCTCCAGACTCTGACGGCCTCCATCCCGGCAAAATCCAGGGCGAACGGACATTTATTGCCCCTCCAACACATGGCCTCCCGCTCATCGCCGTATGAATGTCATACGGATAGAGAAGGCCAGGGAACGGATACGGCTCGAGACTGTCCGGGTTGAAGGTCCATGCCAGCTACACATTCGAAATGGTCCAAAGCCTAGGTTGCCGTTCTTCGATGCTGGAAGTTGGCCATGGTTGCTGAGAAGAAGGATAGTTACTTCGTCCTCTACGTCAGTCAATATGGGTAAAACGGTCTAAGATGAAAGACCCCCCACAGCCTAGACTGGTCGTGTGGCCGGAGAGTTGGGCAATTCCCGAGGCGAGAGTCACGATTCGTGTTACGACGAGAGGCAAGTCGGTTGGGATGGATCAACGATGCATTGCCTCTGACAGTCTGACTCTGCAGCGTTAAGTTACCAACAATGCGCATCCGTACGCCTACGTCCATTGCCCCCCCCCCCCTTGCCGGCGCTAAGAAGCCGACGTTATTTCGCTTCCGTACCACGCTGGGCCGCCCCAATCTCCGTGATTTGCACCTCTCCCTCCAGTTTGGCCGCCACCCTGGGCTTCCCATCGGACGGGTCTTCGAAAGCCGATGTCAGGGCTGAATCAAAGGGCTGCCCGCACAAAAAAGCATGGCAATGATGGAGTTGAGGTTGCAAGAGAAATTTTCTGAGAGTCTAGACCCTCCCTCACTGGGAAGCAGCTGGGAAGAGCGTTTCTACCATGGCAGCAGAAGCTATGCAATGATTCCCGCTCCGTCACTCCCGATGACTGAGAGACTCCCATTCTCCACGTGCCTCCAATGGAGTCGCCATTTCAGTCTCTCCCCGTGCGTGTTATGCACCCCTGCTTGGAGGAATGCAACCCGAGACGGCGGGTTTGGACTGGAATTTGATCTCCCTGGTCGCGGGGGACGTGCTACAGGTTACTACCGGCCGAAAGTGGTTGCATTACTGCGGCCCTGACTTGGATCACCATTCCTGTTCTCTGCGCTTTCTTGCCACACACGTTTCCGAGTCCAACCTGAGAGTCTTTGCCAGACGAGAGAGTGCGCCTAGAACATGGCTAATCGCAGCTTCGAACAGGTGCTGCACGAGCGAGTGCACTGCAGGCAATTTTTCATTTGCACTCCCCGTCTGTACGGTCTCCCGAACTTTCTTCGCGCAAAATATCGCTCAACAGCGGGCCCGGACCTGACGGTCACAAGGTTTGATGCCACTTGTTAGGGCTCATATTATTTTTGTTTACAAATTTCCCCGAATATGTCAACTCGACGCGGTTCAAGGCGCGGTCCGCGTCGTCGGGCGGTGGGAATTGGCGTTTGGCGGGGTAAACTGGACTGGCAAGCCTCTGTCCGCTGGAGCCGCTAGTACGGATTCCAGAGTCAAGTATCACAGCTCACACAGGCCGACCCTGTCGAACGGCGGAACATGAGAGATTGGGAATTTGGGAGGGGGCGTGCGTTGCGTGCTATTCCTCTTGAGGTGACGTTGAGAAGTTGAGAGATGGTGTGAGCGGCCGTAGTAGTGGACGGCTGATAAGCCCATCTTGGGGATAGTTCGTACGTGAGGCGATCGATCCAAGGGAACGAGGTTAGCCGCAGGCGATGGCAAACATTGACCGGCTGGCCGGTGTGTTGCGTCTAAATCTAGAGTTTTAGTAGTGGACTGAACGTCCGATGGGTGTGGTATCCGTATGATCTGTCGGAACTCTTGGTGAGGGGGGGATGTCAATGATTGGCAGCGACGATGGGGTCGCGCGTCGGCGACGCGGTGGTGTGAGGTGACATTGGATGGGTGGACGAGGGCACACGCCAGGTGGGACATCCAGGGTTCGATCGATGGCGAAGTGGCATTGTGCTATCTTGTCTCGACGTCCGGTGTAACGCTCGTGGTGCCAGGTGCGGAAGCGAGACATACTCCCGCCCAGCCCGGGGATGAGAATGTGGCCTGCGCCGGCCGGGGGTTCGGCCCCGGAGCCGGGTCCCGGGGGAGTGAGACGTCGGGCCGCCTTGACATGGGCCCAAAATGCATTCCGATCTCTGGGAACCGATTTGGACCATCTGGCAGGGTAAGAGACTGTCCAACTACATGTCTGGGCATTAAATGACTGTATTAGCCTCTTTCGCCATGTTGATCGCCGCATAGATTTGACTACATCGAAAGATGAGGAAATGAAATTGATACTATCCAATACAAGATGAGGTTGTAAACACTCTCATACAATCCTACAACTTTCTCACTCAACCCTCTTCAGAACATCCTCCGTCCACCGCCAAAGCCTCCCAGCCAACTCATCGTCCGTCGCCATCCCATCAAGCATATCATCCGCTAGGTGTCCGACAGGCATATAAAACCCACCATTCACGAGATCCGCCTTCTTGGCGGCGGCAGCGGCCCAGACCTGGTTCCAGCAACCTTGCTCCGGCGTCAGGACCGTAGATCCCATGATCTTTTGGGGGAGGTAGACGAGGAGGCGGTTGAGGCGGCTTTGGTTCGTTACTAGGCCCGTGTTGACGACGCCTGGGTGGATTGCGAGGGTTGTGATTGTGGGGTGGCGGCGGGCGAGGGAGCGGGTGTAGAGGATGTTTGCGAGTTTGCTTTGGCTGAGGGGTGTCAATTGGGGGTATTTTGTGGGGGGCTTGTGAGGTGTTCTGATGAGTTTGAGGATGAGGAGGGAAAAGGAAGGGGATGGAGAGCGGGAGGTGATGATGAGAGATCGGAGCAACGTACCCGTATCGAATCCACTGTCCCAGCACCGGTGGTCCAGCTTGCGGCGTACCCAGCGTGTCAAAGGAGATGCCATCGCTTGGGTGGGCTCGATACCCGACGGACGTGAGGTTGATGATGCGTACGTCTGCCGAGGCATCACCACCGCCGCCACCGCTAGACGAAGATCCAGACCCGGATCCCTCGGCGGTGCGTAGTAAGACGGGAAGTAGCTCGCGCACAATCATGGCGTGACCGAGATGATTCGTAGCGAACTGGATTTCATAGCCGTCCGCTGAGAGGCCTGGGGCGCCGGCCATGATGCCTGCGTTGTTGATTAGGATGTCGAGGCGAGTGTGGGTGAAGTGTTTTTTGATGGCGGCGCGGATTGAGGGGAGGGAGGTTTGGTCCAGGGGGACAAAGGTCAAAGGAGGTGGGGAGGAGGCCGTGGTGGCAGTTGTCAGCGAGGAGGAGACTGCGGGTGAAGATGCGGAAGGGGAGATGGCGGCAGCGGCCTCGATGAGAGCTTTGGCGGAAGCGTGGGAACGGCCCGAGAAGTAGATGTGTGATGGGTTGTGGGCTAGCAAGGTGAGGATTGTGGATTTGCCTAGGCCTGCTGTTCCTGTGTGGCTGTTAGTTATGTTGGTGATGAGACGGGATTTCTGTGATGTGCGTGTGGGTATGTGGCTTTTGATGATGAGTGAACGTAGAGCGGATGCTAGATGGTGATTTGAAAGAAGTCGTCGTCTTTCCCCTAATAATCTCAACAGTGTCCTGAGTGATCTTCAAACAGCACTTGCGTGGAAAGGGCGGATGTCAGGTCTGATTGTTTCTCTCCTATGAGGATGAAGTCACCACAAGGTGACATAGCCAAGAACGTTGGGAGGCGAAGCGGATGGTGGAATATTTCGGGGCTGGCACGAGCTAGAATAACCACGAGGATGGGTGGTATCAGAGTTATGAGATGGTTCAAAGGGCTCCTTTCGATACAACGTTGAACGAGAGCAGCATGGGACATGACAAGAAAGCTTTTGGGTCATCCTGCCCTCCTTTCCCCGATATCGATTCTCGCGCTGAGTAAATGAGCCCGATGGGGGAGGAAGAAGAAGAAGAAGAAGAAGAAGAAGAAGAAGAAGAAGAAGAAGAAGAAGAAGAAGAAGAAGAAGAAGACAAGCAGAAGGGAAAAGACAGAGGTACTGTTCTTCTCGGAAGCTATCCATTGAGAAACGAAGGGATTTGAGGGAAGTTGTGAAAGCCAACGATACAGCAGAAAAAGGAGGGCGTGAACTCACCACCGGTGACGAAGATGACCTTTCCTTCGAGGGAAGGGATGTCCGGAGTCGGATCACGCATGTCTTTTTCATAAACGAAGAGGGCGACCATCTTTTCGAGGAAACAAGGGGGGTCAGAAGGTTGATTGGAAGCGTGAGCCTAGAATCTAGGCACTGGAAATCGCAAAGGTGTCGGGGAGGAGCTACTCGTCGTCCGCTGTGGATTCTGAAGTCGCAAGTAACCTGGTCAAGACGTGGTCGGAATATGACGAGCAATCGTTCCAAGGTCGAGGAAAGTTCTCAGATTTGACAGATCAGTCCATGTAGGCTCTGCGGTTATTCAGACCTATCTTGGCGATGCGTAATGTTGAGGATGTTGGTGAGAACTTGTGCCGGTGGCTCGACTACGATCGATTGAATGTCTTGGAGAACATGTTATGAGAAGGAGGAGGCTCATGCATCTTATAACTATTCAATCAAGCTCATGTACTTCCAAGACTCGCTCAATATGCGCCGCGAACCGCACTGACAATTCCTTAGATCCCCTACATGTTTAGGCTCTATGTAGTTTACGACAGTTCTATTCACCAAGTTGCGCCGTCGGCGATGTGTGTTCGCCCGCTAGACCATGGCCTCCTATCTCCATAAGATCCTTTATTCCCTGGTATACATGCTGTATCTGGTAAGGTCAACGAGACATGGTCGATGATGAGTCCAGATTCCTAGGTAACGCTGGACGGATGAAGCTATCGTGAGTGTAAGCCGTCCGCATAAGGGCGGTTCAATGCTAGGCTCATTTGGGCATGCGGGTCTGTAAGCAATTCGCGAGCAAGCTATTGGTTGGGCGGGTTGGTCCGTCCCTGTTGTAAGACAGGACTGAGCGATGAAGCTCGAGGAATGTGATGACGAAATGAAGTAGAGGGAATGATGCTGCTGCCATGCCGGTTTGGGTAGTGGAGATGTAAGCCGGTGGCATTTGGAAACTCGCCGCTTTGGGGATGGCGGGTGGATGTAGTCAGCTTGTCGGCATTATGCTTCTTTGATATATTGGGGTTGAGGCAGGTCGAGCCGCCTTATTTGAGAGTCGCGCTCTTGAGTGTAATGAGATGGTGGCTGGAAACTCATGATAGCCTAGTCACAGTACCTTACTTGAGGTGGTCGTGAGGACAAGTTGGAGACAAGAGTGCCTCACTCCGAGCGCATCGCACAACAGAAACTTCATGGAGGAACGGATAGGTAGAGCATCCCAAATGGCACGACATCGTAACCAATGAAACAGTCTAACACGCAAGGAAAGTCAAGCTTAGGCACCAGCGACAACGCAACGTTAGACGTAAACCTTGCTGTGCTGCTCCTGTCCCGTCTGATGGTCGGAGTACGGATGCCACGCGGAGGGAAACGGGTCTGATCCAAGAAACTCGCTTTCGGGGTCCGAATAGAGATTGAGGCATCAGAGCACATGAGCGGCGTCAAATACTGCGCCGAGGCCGGGGGCTCTGAAGGATCACAAAACGGAGGGACGCTGGATGGGACGGGGTGACACGTGAATAAGAATCGCCGCGGGGGTTTGCCGCCGTTTGTCTTTTCTTTTTCCTGATGCCCCACGGTTGCCTGCTCCCCAAGTCTCCATGTGAATCATGCGGGTTTACCGGGAGATGACCATTTCCATCAGGGAGGAAGTCAAAATCAGCTGGGGACCGTGCCGTGGCCCGTCCAGTTCCGTTTTATGGGCGTTTTATGGGGTAAGTAACTTGTTGATTGTATGCAGAGAATATGAGTTTCTTGCCGTTTGGAGTAAGAGGAACGAGGAAAATGAAGGGACCTTGGACTGGACGTGTCTGCGGCGGGGAGACGGGATTTTTAACGCAGGGAAACCCAGTTCCCCGGGTCCGCGCAATGTGAATTTCCCCTGTTTCACTTTGAGCAAACGGTTCTTTGGACGGAGCGCACACACAGACGGCGGCCCATATAGTGCAATGGCCGGCGGGGAGATGACGGATGTTTACGCGGGAAGTTGTCTATGGGGACAGGAGTTTGGTGATGGCGATGCCTCTGAGAGTAAAGCTGACTGCATTGCACATTCTCTCTTCCATAAGATTTCAATGATACCAATGGCACAGGCGGAAATGCTCCGGGTTTTGGTCTCCGCCGATATGCATGTCCAAGATTCAGTCTGTCCCATTGGCTGCTGCAATCAGCAATGTCTTTGCCGGGGGGGCACCGAGCCGTGGAACCGTGGGACGAACTGCGCAATATTGGTCTGGGGGTGACGGTGCATATTTTTGACATTTGACATTTGATATTTGTTTGCTCATTGCTAAGCATTGTACGGATACATGTTCTAATGACACAAGGCCAAGCTCTAAGTGACAAACAGTTATCTTGTGACTGGTCACTTTCTGGCTGCAACCAGCACTTGGGTACGGCCAGGCCGGTGACGGGTCTTTCTCCTCCACCTCCACCTCCAGCTTCCAAATACGACCAATGCCGACGAGGGGAAGTGCACATGTAGATTCTATGACTCCGGACTCAGGTCCGAAAGGGAAAAGTGGTGGCAACAAGTGCATTGCGAGTACGGATCTGAAATTCTGTTCCCTCTATTGCCTTTTCCACGGACGCCGCGGTGCGAAGCCGAGGCAGACTGGAATGGTGCAATCTGCCCATAGGCATTGCTCGAGAACAGATGGCGGGGGAAGTAGAGGAAAGAGAAAGAGAACAAGAGATGCCGCAACCCGAAGCAAAGCCTCGATGAGTGCGAATGCCAACCATATCGGAAACTCTGGGGCTTGGTTTGCGTCAAATGGATGGTGTTGTCTTGGTGTTGATGGATGGCAGTGCACGCTGCACCAGACAATAGCCCAAAACCACAAACCAAGACCAAGCACCACTTGGGTTTCCCCCTTTGGTTTCCTCTGCCTCTTGGCTGGCTCGGGGGTTGTTCCCTGACAGGCTGACCTCTGGGCGCAAACGCACTTCAACGGTGGTGCAGTGCAGCTCGTCCCCTTTTGCTCCGTTCAGGGTCTTGTGGTGTAGGCCCTCCCCGGTCCCCTCATCATGCTCCCCCACGTCGGGCCGGTAATCAAAATCGAACTTGGTCTGGAACTCCTGTCAGCCGATGTTTCCATGCAAGGCCAGAGTCTCTTTTGCTGAGTATTGCTGCCTCCGCGGTCGGATATTCTCCGCTTGGGAACGTTCCTTGCGAGACCGAAAAAGGGTTGCAGTAGATATTCCGTAACGTTATGAGTAAAGCAAGAAGGAGAATAAAATAAAATAAAAGTTGTGTGTAGTATTGAATTTGTGACGGTTGCAATTGGACTAACCTTTGCATGCCAATGTGGATTTCTGATCGAACTTCCACACACGACTTTTGGCACCCCCGGTCCAAATGTTCTCCAATCGGTGCCCCCTTGAAAATTAAATCGCGGATAATCCGTCCTCGATTGCGTTGGCGCCGTCTCATCTAAGGTGGTTTGTACTCTTTTTCTCCGTGGGATCCCATTGGGGCCGATTGCCGAATTCGAATGCAACCCTTGATCAGAAACCCAGAGATTCACAACGGGCCTGGTAACGGGGCTCCGTTCGATGATCGATCAAAGTGCCAAGTGTGGGAAGACGGAAAAAAAGCAGTAGCAGGATGATGGGCCGGCGAGCCTGACGTTCGAAGGGTCCAAGGGGGAGAAGAAGGAGGAGGGTTGCAGCTGGAGTGGTGACGAAGCGGATGGCCGCGTAACGTGTCCCTTTATCCGCGTCACCTCACCTCATCTCGATTTTATTGCTCAGGCTCTCTCTTTCTCAGGACTCTCTTTTCCCATGTTCCCGACATCCCGTGCCGTTCCCCTTGCGGCGTACCCTTTTTCGGGGGTTGCTCATTCCCACCTGCGACGACCTGACCGTCAGCGTTGCCGGCCGGCCCACCCGGGCGGGGATAGAGTAGCAGGGCGGTGCGGTGCGGGCGGGCGGAGCGAACAACTTGGACGGGTTTGGTTCATCTGCGGCTCATCTGCGGCCATCGACGAACCGAACGAACCCCCCCTTGCTTGCTTGCGTGGTGGATGGTGGATGCGCGGATATACGGGATAACGGGGGTGTGAGAGCCAGTGAGCCACGCAGAAGCAGGAGAAGCACGATGCTTTTTTTTTTTTGCGTGATTGATCGCTCGATGGAGATAAGGTGAGATGGGTGGAGGAGCCAGTGTATGGGTGAGATGGATGATTGCCCTGGAAAGTTGGATGGGATGGGGTGGTCTAGGATGGCCTAGACTTGCAGATCTCTGAGAAGAGTGGCAAGGGGGGGGAGGGGTGGTGACTGGTCGAGGAGGGTGGAGGATGGATCGCTGAAGGATTCGTCCCGGGGCGGTCGGGCGGGAATTGGAGGATGGATGGGAGGGTAGAGGTAGGGTAGGGGGTTGTTGGAGCAGACAAGGAGTAGAGTATGGAATCGAAGAAGACAGTTTTGCTCTCTGATGTCTGGAACGGGGTATATGTGAATGATAAAAAGAGGAAAAAGAGGTAGAGAAAGCCACAGGAAGAGGGGAACAAACGGGATGATCCCTCTCGAGTCGGTTCAGAAAGCTGTCAAATCCCGGCCGGCGGCAGGACGCAGGACCCAAGATGTGTGTGAAGTCGGCAAACGGATCGGGGGGTCCAGACAGAGAGAGAGAGAGAGCTTGAGTCGAGAATGAGCCCATAGTCCCGTCCCATAAACCCACGGTCCACACAAAAAGAAGAGTCCAGTCAAGTCCAGTCCAGTCCAGCCGGGAGCCCGGGCCTCAAAAACCAAGGCACAACGAGGCAATGAGAAGCTCATTACTCAAATGAGGTAGGAGGAGAAGAAAAGTAAACGAGTTTCCGAGTTCCAAGTTTCTCTCAGTGCCAGGAAAATTGGATCTCGTGGCCCCTGACTCGGATGTCTGCGGCCTGGAGCAGGGCGAGAGCGTCGGCGGCTGTGGTCTTGTGGAAGTAGACGACAAACACGTAGCCCTCGCCTGTCTCGCTGGCGGCCATTGTGCTAGAGAGGCGTGTCGTGGCCGTGTTGACGCGGTCCGAGAAGAGGTGCTTTTCTTGCGGTGTCATGGACGGCGGGAACCCGGATGCGCGGATGCCCATGAAATTTGACGACGCTCGGGGTCGGAGGGGTCCACTCGGGGAACCCATGGTGGCGATCGCTGGAGAAGCCGTGGTGAAGGTTTTGGGGGTTATTTGGGGGAGACCGGTTTCGTTGATCGACGATGCTAATGTCGTCGATTTGGATGTTATCTTGGTAGTTGTTGCTGCTGTTGTTCTCGTTGGCGTTGTTGAAGAGAGATGTTGTTCCTGTTGCTGTTGTTGTCGTCGACACCAGGTTACTAATAGTACCTTAAAGTAGGTTGTTCCCGTTTCTGATGGTCGAGGTGTGTAATTTTCCGAAGAGTCCTTTCCGGTCTGCTCTGGCTTGCAGGCAAAGTCCCTTTAAAATTCTATGGCGTCGGCACGGGAGACGGAATGACGGAAGTTTCTTTGTCTGGAAGTGTAGATACCGAAGGAGCCGTCTAGAGGATGTGGAGGGAGTCTAGATTTGGTGTTGGTGGTAGTTGTGGTGGTAGCGGGTGGTGACGAAACTGCAGAGAAGGAGATTCGAGATTGGATTGGATAAGGAGAGGAAGCAACGCAGTCAACAAGAATGTTCCAGACAAGCAGATGCACAGCAAAGGGTTAACGAGGGCAGAAAATGAGAGCAAAAGAAGCAGCGGCAGTGGAGGGGGACTTGAAAGGGTCTTTATCATCTCACGCCTCACGGCATCCACGGGAAGGGGGAAGGGGTCTGGAAGGGGGGAGCGAACAAATAACATGGCAAGGCCAAGGTCGCCTGGTATGGAGTACTGGACCTCTGGTAGTTACACAGCATCCCATCCCATCGCCCATTGCCCATCGAGACCCTCGTCGCCCTTCCTCATCACACATGTGTACTAGGTAAAAGGTACTGCGGATATCTACAAGGACACAGGTACCTCGAGCTGCAAGGTTATGTAGTAATGTACATATTACTCCATGGCTTTCTACAACTCTGCCTTGTCCGTCTCCCACGGCTCCCCCATGGCCTGGGAGAGAGATTTGGGGAGGGGCGCATGGCTGGACCGAGGACTGTGGATATCTCACGTCCCTTGACTGTGGGCTCGCCCAAACTGTGGTACCGCTTTTGCTCGTCTTTACTCTGCTGCCGGCCAGCTGCCTCTCTCGCTCTCTCTCTCTCTCTCTCTCTGCTACAGCAGCTCTGCCTTTGGCCAGTGTCCAGTCCTTTCGCTTGCCGGGGCTGTGGAGTAAGAATGGGCAAGGAACAAAGAGACCCAGCGCCATAAAAGGTACGGATACACGGAGAGGGGCGCGCACCAGCGTGCCAGAGACTGACCAATGCGCCAGAACGGCTCCAGGGCGGTTCCAGGTTCCAGAATTTGTGTGTCGTTTCCCTTTTTCTTCTTCTTCTCACCCCAGTCGCCCAGACCTGGTGGTGCTCCAGCCAGCACCCAGGCACAGGCAGATGCCACGGAATTCCAGAACTTGCGCCCAGAGGTTGCGCATAATGACTAAGACTACCTTAATTGAGGAGGGCCCGCGGGGGACCTGTTCGCTGAAGTCCGTTGCGTCCGCTGTCTGAGGGGACGAGTGCCGTCGCGGCATCATCCAGGGGCACTGTGGTTTGGGCCAGGCTCTCCTTTCTTTGCTCCAGAGTGTTTGAGCTTTCTTTCTCTGGCTTTGACTCTGGCCTTCTTAGCCTTTGATTCACTGCCTATTGCTCTATGCTCGCTCTTATTGAACGCATTTTTGCTTTGCCCATCCATTTCCCGTCAGCCAGGGCTGTCCAGGACCTCAAGGATGCCGCCACTATTAATAGGATTCTAGAACAAATTGACAGTGTTTCAGAAACACGAGCCACTCTATTCTCGTACGAATTCACTTGACCACCAGCAATCAAATCTTTTGATAACCTCTCTTTTTGTGCGAGTGTACATGGTGATTACTGTGCCGTCAATGTCGATTATTATGTTTGAAAGATTCCCACAATGTGGCATTTTTGGATATTGGGTATTTTGGCTCAAGTTTGAGGGGCTCGTTTAACCAGTTAGCCGAATTTTTGCGGCCCCTCCAAGGCTGCATTTCCCGTCATTTTGAGTTGGCCCTTGAGCATGTCGTCTGGAACCTTGGGCAGAAACGGCCCCCAAGTTGCCTCTATTTCGGCTCCCTTTGTCTTCCATTCAGCCCTTCCAAACACTGTTGGCCGCGGGATGCGTTGGAGGTTATTCGTCTTGGCCGTGACTATGTTCCAATTGTTCTGCAGCTTCGGTAAAACGGAACCGCCGTTGACCAAGAAATGCGACTTCTCGGTACTGCTGGTCTTGCGAAGCCAGCCTCATTCACATGCCCAAAGTAAGGCATCTACACATGAGATTATGAGGGAGAAATGGCACCGGAAGGAAAAAGTCCTGCAGACTGTCATTTCAACTCAGCACCTCCGATTGGACACACTCGATCGAAATGCCTCGTCGCTAATACGAGATGTCCCGGCGATCATTACCCTTCACTCTACTGACCGGTGACTTACTGCAGACTGGCAGCAAGCCATGATCAAAAAGAGGCCACTCGCGCGCCGTTCCAATCCCTCGTATAAGCTCATTTTCGAGTGGATCTGCGCAACTCCATTCGCAGAAAAACCGCCTATTCCTGAAAGAAGGCTATTCCCGTTCTCAAATGTTCATGTACATTCCATGCGTTGATGCCCATATGCGAAGCTGCACTCTATTTTTGATGCTTCCTTCGTGGCTGCCCTCTGCTTTCACACAGGCCGACATGTAATATCGGCCCTCTAATATCATCCAGGCCCATGATATATTTCCGTTCTGTTTCGGCATCCCTCCCTTCTATCTGGGACCGACATCTGACGAGACCAAGAGAGGCTGAACTCGCCAACGCCGTTGAACCCGTCGTCATAAGATCAAGGTTACTGTACATATAGCCACGCGGGCCACGGGTTGGGCACAGCGCAGATCAGTGCAGTCCGGCCATCTCCATTTCTCCATCTCTCTAGTGAGCGATTTTTACCAAGCGGCCACGGAAGCGTTTTTTTGGCGAGGCGGCAAACCAATCTACGAACAGGAGCAAACTGTGGGCATGCTCCGGCCCGAAGTGGGAAATCGTTGCCCGAATGGAAAGGTCTCCCGAACTTCAGATCAACGGCTTCTGGCCTGATCACACGTGTCGCCTTGCTCATCACTTGTCTCGAAACTGGAGAGCCGTTATTTGTAAGGCGGCACGCACCGGGGAAGCTATCTCACGGCTATCGACGTTAGTGCGGCTGCCTTCTTGTCACTCTATCCCCGGGATGCCCCCTTTGTGCAGTCCGGCGTTCGCGCAGCGTGCTACAACTTGACTTTTGACAGTTCCACCGCAGGAAGGGGGGGGAAAGGAATTGGGAACGGTCTAGGCCTTCGCCGAAAATGCGATGCCGATAATGCAAACAAGGGACAAACCGACTCGTGCAAGTCGCATCACCATCAACAGCACAGCCTGGAGCTGGGCTGCTGCGCGCGCAAGAAAGCCAGAAAGCAAATGGAGCGCGCATAATCTACGGCGGCTGAACGGGGAGCCTGGGTTCAATCACGATCAATGTAACCTTGTAAGCGAGCTAGACGCCGCCGACGGGACTGGGCTCTTGGTGTCGCAATGTCGACATCGTGCATCGTGCATCACGCGCATCCCGTTGGTGTACCGTGTGGCCCTTGAGCCTGGTCGCTTGAATCGCAGTTTCGAACAGGTGGCACGTAGGAGAAGAGATGGAGGCACAGATCAGGAGGTGAGCTAGCTTGACAGAGAGAATACTCAGAAGAGAGAGAGTGAGAGAGAGAGAGAGAGTAGCAAGGGGTCCCACGGTCCACGATAGCTCAGAATAGGAGATTTTCGGTTTCAAATTGAGTGTAGGTGGTGGCACGACGGCGGCGGCCGGGGGGTAGCTGGTCCTGGGATCCTTTGACGATGTCCTCGCCTCTTTTCTCGCCTCGCCGGCCCGGACCCAGCTCCGGACCCTTTCCCCGTGCGTACCTAGGTAGCTACCATCTGCCCATGTATCTAGGCGAAAGATACTCTGAACCTCGAGTGCTTGGGTACTTGATGGAATGGAGGCCTGCTCGGGGTCCATATGGGCGACAAAAGGATTCTCACGATGGAACCTGGCCACTGCAAGCTAAGCAAGCGAGCCGAAGCTTATTGCGCTCTAATGTCGCCCGTCAAATTGAGTGTTTTTCCCACAAACGTTGCGTGATGTGTGATGTGCACAACTGCCGGAGCTCTTTTCCGTCACCATTGTTATGGATCAGGATAACTTCGATGGAGCCCCCAGCTGGCCCGCCCCTCAGGTTCAGGTGTCTGTGCTGGATCGAGACAGACTGGACGCGTAACGGTAACGCACATGGCAGTGTGGGAAAGGAAAAAAAGTTCCTACAAAATCCTTGAGATGGGATTCTTGGGAATACTACCCTACGGTTTATCCTACTTGCAACTGGAAGTAGCAAAGTACCGTGCCTTAAGTCATCAAGTACGCGACAGCTATTCTGGCATGTGTTTGCCAGACGGGAAGATGAACTTGTCCGTGTCAATGTGACACCTTTCAGGGTCCTCTTTGTCTTGAAACCCGCGGTTTTGATTTCCCATTGACGAGTCCACACAAGCTTACGTGCCCTCGCTTATGCTAAACCAACTGTCCAAGCAGCGCAACGCGAACAAGAACCGTCCCACCCCCACGCGAACCCGACGAGACGTTCCTGCGCATCTTCAAAGGATGTTTTCTCGTTTTCTCCTCGCTGCTGTTGCGCATTCGTGTTGTTGTAGTAGTTGTTGTTGCTTGCGCCGTTCT